AAAAAAAAAAAGGCTCTTTGTATCATTAGGCCTTCTATGTCTAGTTGTTTGGTTTGGGGTTTGGTTCAAATTCAAATAATTGAATTCTCTATCGCTCTTCTTGAGTTATGCCACATACGTGAGTATTTTAGTTCTCTTAACACAAGATGTAAATATGACATTTTCATTTCTTTGAAGTTGTTGAATTTTGTTTTCCCCAAATCTCATTCACATTAAGGCTTCAATCTTCTAATGTCCTCAGAAATTTAAATTTTCAACCAGACCTCTGCTTAAGTTCCGCAGTGCTCTGAAATCTGAGCGGAAGACAATAGGATCAGGCTGTCAAACCTGTAAGTCTCTAATATGGATAATCATATTTGTTGCTCAGGGAGGAGGAAACATCATTGCTCAAAACTAGCGTTTTCTATAGCATTCATCTAGTCTCTTCAGCATAGAATGCTGCGTAGCTGGTACTTGAAGATCTGAATGCATTTAGATGACTCCTTTGAGGCCGTATTTATGGGGTTGAGAGTCGTGGTCCCTCTGCTTTGCCGTTGACCTGACAATAAGCAGTGATACTTTCTTTTGGAAGTTCACTTTCTGTGCTTTTACTGCTTGCTTGAATTGACGTGAATAGTAGGTGTTGGAGGATCTTGTATGAAGTAGTCTCATATTGTTAAGTAGATGTAGCTTAGCTACACTTAATCTCAACACTAAGCTCTAAAGTTTAAAAAAAAATAAATTCCTGAAAGAACTGAAGTATGTTTCAAGACATCCCTCTTTATTTTGTCATACGACATTGAGGGCAGATAGAATTGTACGTTTGCATGCGTGTTCCCAGTGTTGCAGAAGCTTGTGTTGCCAAGTGTCTTAATTTCAGATGCATGATGTGGAAAGATCAACGAAAAAGGTTACCTGAAGTAACCTATTTTTCAATGAGAACAGTTTTAGTTCATAACAATTGTAGTTACTCAAAATCTGTCTTTTACTGTATCACTTAAAAATTTATTGCTTTAAGTAATTTATTGGAGCCTGATGCAGTTGATTAAGTACACTACTAGGAGAAGGAATCTGAATTAATTATCTTTGTAATAGAAAGTATTTGAAATAACCTTTTCTCTCTTGCTGCTTATCAGGTATTTTTTAAACATTGAAAGTTACACACTTCTTGCTCTATTGAGTAGTAGCTTAATGACAAGTTTTTCATTAATCATTAAATCGTTTTCAATTTTAGTGCATGTCAGTGTTAATGAGCAAATTGCTGGGACCACCAGTTTTCTATACTGGTTATAGAAATAATTTCCTCCTTCCTGAAAGACACAAGGCACAGAGAAGAAAGAAAATGATAAATGCGTGGGGGTGTGTATAGATTGTAACTACTGAATTAGGTCAGTGTTACAGTTTTGGGGGAGGTGTTTCTAGATGAGAAGGCGTTTAGATTAAAATAAAGGAATAGGGTAGAAAGTTAAATTCCGAAGTCTAGATTTTTTCCGACTAGAATCACATCATAACCGTTGTGATGAATCAGTATTTATTAGGATTTTAAGAAGGCAGTTGCCAGAATCTTACATGAAACAAATCTGTAATACCTTTCAACCTAAAATTTATATTGCTGCAGTTAAGGTTTTTTTTTTTTGCAGTACAGCACTTAATGATAAAAAAGCGCATCTTCTGTGAGACCCCATAAAGATAGGAACGCCATTCTCTAAATAATGGTGGAGGTAAAAATAATTTTATTTTTTCTTAGCATAGCTGTATGATTTTTAGAACGCTCTGTTGTTACATGTTGGGCCGACTAGTATCTTGGCATATATTGTTAACGACACTGCAAAGTAGATTTTGTGGCATATGTCCTTGCTTGTCTATAACCAGAAAACTTTAAATAAAGGAAAAATAGGTCTCTGTCCCTAGATAGGCCTTAGGTAATGCACATGAATAAAAATTATATTTTTGAGGTCTGCTGCTGTCATCTGTCACCTTGCATTTGCTTTTTTTGAGACTCTGTATTATAAGTAGCTAATTTAGGAGAAAGACTGTATGTATTGGGGTATTTCAGTTACTTTTGAGGAGATAACATTGAGAAACTCAGATGAAAGCTGTTCTAGAAGTCAACTGTATTAGAAAATGATGTATGTTCCTTGATCATTCTATGCTAAAAGTGCCACCCTTTGTATTTACTGTTACATGTTACCCTGTAACAGAGTAATATGTACATATTTGCTTCTTACCTAGCACTTACCCAGGAACCTATGTCTGATGATGTGGGGTTTTTTTTCCTGGCTTTTGAAAAGGTGCTGAATTTCTTTTCTTCCCCAAACAGAATTAAGCTATTGTGCCACACGAGTGGGAGGTTGCTGGCTGTGGAAGCTGCGGTGGGGCTGGGATGTGCAGCTGTACCAAATGCTTGAGCCTGGGAGCAGATGCTGCTCCCGGAGGGCAGGGCCATGTCCGGCATCCTCTGCCCAGTCTGCAGGTGCTCGGTTGGAACTGCTTGCAGTGGGTTGTCTCTTCTAAATGGGGAGCATGCGGAGTCAAAAAAACTATAGTTGTCTTTTCCTGGTGTTGCTAAAACTACAAGGAGTCAGGGGAAGCGAAAACTGACTTTCACTTTATAATTTAGTGGTTGATCAGGGTGACATAAGGAGATGGCAGAAGCATGGCAAATTGGAATTTGCTCAGTTGGCAATCAAAAACAGATGTCAGTGGGATTCGTTTGACTCCATCTTCATAGCTTCATGCATTGCTTGATTAACAATGGAGTAGCTAGTTTGTCATTTAATAGGCATCAGTCTCCATCTTGGCACTATATCGAAACAGCTGTTCAAAGCTTTGGGTAAAGGTGATAATTTTTTCTAATGTGTCTTAGTGTACTGAATCTAAAATCAAATATAGTAGAAATGAGACGTCCTGGTTCCATGGCTGGCATTAGGATAAGTACTCTGGCCTTGCAGTACACCAGTTCAGGTAATTAAAGAAACCCCAAAATTCTCATGGTCTTTGCAAGTTTGGGGTTTTTTGTTGTTGTTATTTCCTTTAGTACTCTGAACTGGCTTCCTTCATGATATTCAGCCAAAAACATTAGAATAACAGAGAGATGAGACTGAAGCAGCTTGTGCCTGATGTAAGTTATTGTGGAACCACAGCTGCCAGTGGTCACTTTTTTCTGCAGTTTAAGCCAGCCTAGACCAGGATTGCTGCTGAAAGGAGCTGTTTCACCTTTTCCCTGCTTCTTTGCTACCTCACTCCTTGTGCCAGCCCAAGTTTTTATGTGGCCTTGTTGTGAAACAGACCTGTTAAGGAAGAGTGGTGGTGATTAAGGAAGGTTTATTGTGGTGGTAGTTGGCTTTGGGCTGTTGAAAAATACCATGTAAGTTGGCAGAAGTTTGATGTCGTTGGTTTATGCAAGTACCTAGAAGCCTCGGTTGGGTAGTGCAGAGGAACTGACTGCGTTGAACTGCAGTAGACTGCAAAGTGTGTGTGTGTATATGTGTGTATTATGCATGTGTGTGTATATATATATATGGCAGGAAACTTAGTCTTGCTAATACTTTCTACCTAAATATCAATGCAAAGCAATTAAATACTCAGGAAGGCATTTAAAAAAGAGCAATTAAAATAAGTTAATTTTAAAATGGCATTTAAAAAATCAGTTTCTTCCTAAAGAAAAATTGAGTTGGTGATGCCTTTGTTCTGGACTTAGCAGGCTTACTGAGCTCTGTGAATATGAATTCTGAAGGGTGGGGATGGATTACAGCTGACTGTATTCAAAGAATATGGTTTTGTTCAAAAGTGAACATTATTTTAGTGACAATACTAGACAAAATTTGTTGGTGCTGTTAATATTGGAGACTGGGCAGGGGAGGAATAGTGTATTCAGTCAAAATTTTTATTATTTATGTAACACCTTGCAAATTTGCACAATTTAGGAAAGGATTTTAAAATGTCTTGGAGAAAGATAACAGCATTGAAAATTAATTTGAGATGAGACGTCATAATAAAACACTTACAAATATGCATAGTGTTACAGCAGAAATGTCACTCTAACTTGTTAACGTGAAGCTTTTGCTGATTGAATCAGGAACTTAGCACTGCCAAATGACTCTTACTGAAAGCTCATACAATTCTTTTACCACCCTACTTGGCTTTTGAACTTTCTGAGTACTATCGTTGGTTTATGTGAAGCTTGGAAGCCTGAGTTGCTCTGGAAAACTAGGTTTCGTCTTCCGTGGTTATATATTGACCTATGGTACAGAGTGGAATTGCTGTTATAACTTAATGCATCTTTTTATTTCTATATTTAACACAATGAAGTTGAAATACGCAGTGATTCTTGAACTGTTGGTATATCATGATTACAAGATCAACAAAAAAATCTGATGTCAGAATTTTCTTTGTATAATCTACTAAAATACTTGGTGGGGATGTGATGGGCTTTGAGTGGGCCTGAAAGGCCAGCGGACCCAGACTTTTGTAGATATGTGCTGGAAGAAGGGAATACAGGTCAAATGCCCTGGGTAAATACTGGTGTGCTAATAGGAGAAGTTAGGCTGCAGGGTCTCTATTAGTTTGAGCTGAGGTAGAATCAATCTCTAACTCCCTCTCGGACATCTGCAGTTAGACAGCGTCAGGAGAAGAGTATTGGAAGAGATGACAAATTTGGCTGTTTATGCTCTTAACCAGGTCATTTCTGCCTAGACCTTGATCAGCACCTTGAATTCAAATTGAAAATCTACTCTAGCAATTCAAGCACAAGAGAGTCAGAGTAAGCAGCTGCGTTCTGGATGAGTGTCAGTTTCTCAGTGGTATAGAGGTAATTATCAGTGTAATTTTTACTTAGAACATTATTTTAATGTTAAATATTTGAGATATTACCTTCTGATGTCAGTTGTACTCAATAAAAATAAATACTAAGTCTAAAATAAAAGATTCTTTATAGCAGTTTATTTGGTTTTGTAGCATTCTTTTGTGGTACAGATTACTTCTATATGCATGTATCAATACAGCGTATTGTCTTTTTTTCAGGTTATGCAATGGTCTCTGCAAGATGGCATGTTCTTGAGTTGGAGCTTTTTAAGGCAAGCATATGCTGGTACTTCAACTTTACTAAGTGGACTATAATTTCTTCTCTCACAACAACTACATAAGCAGACAAAATTGCAAAGATCTGCCCTGTGTCGAGTATGACAGCCACGACTCGTGGCTCTCCAGTAGGAGGGAATGATAGCCAGGGCCAGGCTCCTGATGGACAGTCCCAGCCTCCCCTCCAGCAGAATCAGGTATGATATTAACAATCAAGTTGTCTGAAATAAAGGGGTTAGTTCTTTAGAAGTAGCGTTTCTGAATTGTTTGAGTTTGTACATTCCTAGAGATGTCTAGTTAAGTTAGATATTTTGTGTGCGTGTGTGTCTGGAAGTACAGAAAGATTTTGAGGGATGAAGGCATTGCTATTGGCAAAGTAGAGACAGACAGGGAGCACTGCAGTGCAAAAAATGCTCCCTTTTCAGGCAGTGGTATAGTTCTTTCAAGCATATGTTTTCTGGATAAGAAGCCTTCTTGGAATAATATCAGAAGCTTCCTTAGAACTTCATTGTAGACTTACCTGCCACAGATTGGTAAAACTACTCTCTGTGAGTTCAGTTTATGCTCAGTTCTGCAAAAGCACTTTTTGGAGAAAACACCTTACATGCGGGTATCAGCTCTTTAAGACCAGCTTCATCTCGGTCTCCATTCATTGTACTAGACTTCTGAACAACTTAGCGTGTTTCTGTTGAACGGGTTATCCTGCTTTCAAAATATAAGTAAAAACTTTCAAGTACTACATCATAAAGTGATGATTCTTTTTTGTTGGGGAAAAGATATGTTTAAACAGTGCAGCCAAACCCATTTAAAAGAAAAGCCATGCTTTGTCATTTAATTCAGTATGAAGATGATATTTGTTTAATAGCATAAGGTTTAATGGTTGTTACCTCCTGAGAATGAATTGTTCTTTTGAACGTGTGTGGTGGGCTGATCCTGGCTGCCAGGTAAGTCTCCAACCCGTCGCTCACTCCCCTCACCTCAGTGGGTTGGGAGAGAGAATCAGAAGGGAGAAGTGAGAAATTGTCGGGGTTGAGATAAAGTTTAATAAGTGAAGGGGTAGAGGGGGAAACAGGTGATCCATATAGTCACTCACTACCAGCTGATGGATGCCCAGCTAGTCTGCAAGCAAAGGCTACCTTGGAAAAAAAACACCCCCTGTTTTATTGCCGAGCGTGACACTATATGGTGTGGAGTATCTCTTTGGTCAGTTCAGGTCAGCTGTCCTGGCTGTGGTCCCCTCCCAACCTCTTGCCCACCCCCAGCCTACTTACTGCGGGGGGGGGCAAAGTGAAAAGCACAAGGCCTTGAATCTGTGCAAGCACTGTTCAGCAACAGACAAAACGCTGGTGTGTTATCAGTACTGTTTTGGTCACAAATCCAAAACCCGGTGCTGTGAAGAAAACTAACTCCATGCCAGCCAGACGCAGTACAACATGTGAAAATTGTTCTTGAGGTTTTGGTCCTCCCTTGTCCTCCTAAATTTTGCTGTTCTGATTTGAAATTTTATTATTGTCAATTCATAGTATTTCTGTATACGAATAAGCGTGCATCTACAAAACGCATTGTATTTTGCGTGGCCCATCAAAATGGGCTTAACTAATCATGTTCTTGGAGGTTGGTTAGTAGCCAGCTGTAGTAGTGTGTTACTCATTTGTAGCAAACTTCTAAAGATGTTTTTCATGATTGTTTTCCTCTATGCTGTTGCTGAAGTTTGTCTCTCTACCTAAAATAGTCATGTTTTCTGCAGAAAATTTATAAAAACCGGAACATTCATATAGTCTTTATTTTCACCTTCTAGATAGGTGGTCTACTGAAAGTAGAAATCTGTTACAAAAAGACCGCACTTTCCTCACTGGGAAAGTAGCTTAATTTTTAAACTGTTGAGATTGAAAGCATATAGCATATTTTATGCTCTATTTTTTGTTACTAAATTTGAAATCAAATGATTTTATTGTATTTTATGATGACAGGTACTTACTTCAAGTGATTCTTTGAAACAGTGTGAAGGAAAAATGCCAAAATAAGTGGCACGCAAGTGCAGTCAGTATTTAAAGTATTTTCCGTACCAATTTTAGACTTCTTCACCTGATTCTTCCAATGAGAACTCCCCAGCTACCCCGCCTGATGAGCAGGGCCAAGGAGATGCTCCACCCCAGCTTGAAGATGAGGAGCCTGCATTTCCACACACAGACCTGGCAAAGTTGGATGACATGATCAACAGGTATTTTCACACTTTTTTTCAGAGGGTGTAGATTATTTGTGCAAATATCTTGATAGTGGAATCAGGATTGTTGCATCTTTGGTTCCCTGGGTTTCTTGAAATATCTTTTTTATTGGGTTAGAGTTGTAAGGAGAGGCTCAAATCAGAGTTGTTTGGATTTTGTTTTTGTTTTTTTAAATGAAATGCTCATTGGGGTCTTCAAAAATGTACATTCTTACCGTATATTAAAAGCATTACAGAGGGGCAAGGATTCTTGATTTTTAAGAAGCACAATTGAAATACAGGGGAATTTGTTTTGTTTTTGAATATAGGCCTCGATGGGTTGTTCCTGTATTGCCGAAAGGGGAATTAGAAGTTCTTCTAGAAGCTGCTATCGACCTAAGTAAAAAAGGTAAGCTGAAAAGACAACTAATGATTATTGGGCCAGTGTGTAAAGTCTTTTCTTGTTGTTTTGAATCCCTGGTGGAGGCTTAAAAATTCTGAATTATTTCTGTTACAACCCTGGTCCGGAAAATTGTGTCAGAGTGGTATGCAGAACCTTCATAGATCAGAAATTTTGGAAAGCCATCAATGGAGTTAGAAATTAGATGTCTTATCATTAGTAGGGAAGTTGAATAAGCTCACAGCAAAAAAAATCTTGTCATTCCTGTCCTACTTGTTTTCTGTATTCACTTTGATATCAGACCTAGTGGGTTTGGTCTTTAGAACAGATACTAAAACTCAAAGAATTCTAGTTTTTAAAAAATAAGTTACTAATCCAGCTTTCCAAATGTCTTGCCATAAATTTTTGTTCAAATTTGGCATGCATGTACTTTTTAGAATATTAGAGAAAAGTTAGAATTTTAGTCTAAGCCATGCTGTTTAATAATTCTACCATATTGCTTGCTGTGTCTTGCTTGGAAGTAGGAGGGTTCCATATCAGGATTGTGTATGTGTTTGCTAAATTGTGCTAGTCAGATTGACAAGTTTGTCATGTGTTCTGGAAAGTTCTGTTCTCCTGGAAAGTTGCTTTGGTCTCCTATTCCAGTCAGTATTTGTTGCCCCGGAGTAATACCAGAGGTCAGGTCAAATTATTTTTCTAGGATATCTACACTTACCAACTAGTTGTATTTTAAATATAGTTACATACAAAGTGCGTATTCCTTACTTTTGCATAGCTGGACCTGGATGACTTCATTTCCATGTTAATAAAGGTTATTCTTAGGGAGCTTTAAGAACATAAAGTTCATTGTGGTCATGATATTCTGCGCTATCTTGATTGTTTTCTCTAAGTCGTCTTTGCTTTGGAGCACCCTCTGGAGAAACAAAAGTTAGGGTGCACCCTTGTGATCCAGAATAGGATAATGACGTATTATTGCCAACACTGATTTATCAGCTGTAGTTGAACTTGGAATTGGTGTCTTTGCATGTAGCTAGGTCTGGCCGGAATCCTAAGGTGAGTGTAGAATTTTCAAGAGATCGCATTTGTTCGGGAGCAAAAGAAATGCCAACTTACGGAAAGAAAATGGAGTTATCTGTGTGACTGGGCTGTTGGAACAGTGCAGTAAAAAAATTCTCTGCTTGTGATATGTGAGAGAGGAGATGTATGTACTGCCAACTGTTAAGTCATCTTTTTAAAAAAAAAAAAAACAACCCCCAAAAAACTGTCAATGCTGTGAAGTAATAAGAGCAGAATGAGATTTTTGGCTATTCCTAACATTAATGGACTTCTCCAAAATGTCAGACTTAGTTGAAAGTTCCCAAACAAAAAGTCGTCTTTTTCCTCTTGAAGTTGTGAAAAACAGTGGAAATCTATTCGTATACTTGATGCACTTTGATTTTTATTAAGTTACTGTCCAATTCTGAAAAGGGCTTCTGCATTACTGTTTAATTATTATTCCTCTTGCCCTCTAGATGAATTCCTGTGTATGTACATACGCAAGGATTATTGGCTAAGGAGAAAACAAGGAAAGCTCTTAGAAGTAGTTTATTTAACTGTGTTATCTTTACAGTTACATCCTAGATTTTTTTTCCCTTGCTACTTGAAGTTACATGATGGCTAAGGTGATTCTTTTTTAAATAACTTTCAGTGCTCAAGGAATATGATAGGGTGCTCACTTGGTGTAACTGACACTGTTTTGGTAGCTCAAAACTTGGCAGAAGCTGTTTCAGAGTTGTGTGTATATAAAGGAGTAATATAAATTACTCTCTTGTGTATGTTTCTTAATAGATCAAAAATGTGTTCGGTTATCTCAGTAAGATCTAAAATTGGACACCTTGCTACCTGTCTGGGCAGTTTCTTAATCTGAGGAGTTCCGTTTCAAAAGGGAAGAACTGAAAGGAGAAATAGAAAAATAAAAATTTTCTATAGACATAAATTCTATATTGCAGTCTGTAACTCATCTAGATTATGAAGCAACAAAACCAAAGAAGGGCCCACTAATTTTTTTTTTATTAAGCACCGTTTTCTAATGGGTACAGTTCTGAAGTAGCTTTTATTCCTAACATTGCCAGTGGCCATCAGCATTCAGGAGTGACTCTGGGGTAACTGCTGTCTCTGTGACCCTGTCTATAAAATAAGAGAGATATTTGCATCTTCTTTAAATCTTTTCAGGAAAGGGGAATAACTGAACTGAACTGAAAGTACTCATAAGAATTAAATGTCATCATTACCACTTTCAAGTGCAAGGAGCAAATTTGACAGACTTCTGTGAATGATGGCTAGACTGTCACTTGCATTATTCCTGGCAGATGCATTTATTTATGGAAGATTGTCTTTTTATGTGTAGGCATCAATGTATTAATCTTCATTAAGTAAACCATGAGACGCTCAAGTGATAGTCTGGAATTACTTGCGAATAGAAGAAAACCTATTTGAAAAATAGCATTTAATAGCAAGATTGATGTTTACCTTCACAAAAATTCTGAAATACTTACAAAGTGTTTTGAGTAATGATATTTGCTCCAGAATTAAATGTCATAGTGAGTTGGATGCTATAAATTTAAAAGTAATAAAAAATGGTTTGGTCTAGGGTTTTGGTTTTTTATAGGCAAGAATATTCTCCACTCTTTCTTTCAAAATTCCTCAACAACTCTACACTTCTCCGCCTTTATTGTGGATTTTATTGCTCCTAATGTTTATATCCAATTTTTAACATGCTGCCAAAACTTTCCAATATCACACGCACAAGCAAGGTGCAAGGCAACTTTTATAATTTTTAATTTATTTAAACTCAAATGAGATTTCACTGCATGACTTAAACTTTCAAACTTGATCACAAATCTTTGGTTTTGATGAATTGAAAAGGCTTACAGAGTGGGAAAGAGAGGGAGGCCCTAGAACCTCAAAATAAAAGAAAAAAATTTGTGTGTGCATGAGCATGTGTGCATCCAGAAGCTAGGCAGCCCAATACTGGGAGTTGTTTCTAGCATCCTGTAAAGACCATCTTGCTCTGGATGATCCATCTGCATTTCTGTGGGACCACTCTTGAGTTCCTTTCTGAAGCTGTATCTTAAAATGGTTATTTTTTTGCCATCTATCTAAAGCAAGGACAGCAGATTTGTGTCCTCATGTTCCAAAGTTTCTTAGCCAGGTGTTTGGGCTAGAACCCATTCAGTGAAATGAACTACAGCAGGGTGAGTGCATTGTCTTCATGTGGAAGGACTCTCATATTCCTGATGATTACAAGTTACTGTAAGTCTGCCAGAATCCACAAGTGCCACATGTAGCCACTGTGCCCATGGGCGAGTGTGAGTTTTGCCAGAGCTTATTAGCTCTGGGTCGCTGTCAGTTCTGCAGGGTCTGAGCCAGCCCGTGCCAAGCTGGTGAAAGGTTTCTGTGCTGCACTTCTGGAGGCTCCAGGTCTAGGGGGGCTTCACTGGCACAGCACCACACCAGTGTCTGGGGCCAGCTCAGCTCTGGGGTTGCACCTACAAAGTTGTGGGATCCAAAGTCCTGGAGAAGAGGAGATGGGTGGTTTTGCCTGGGGGCCTTGGTGTTCCAACTCTATACTGTTGAATACAGCTCAGATGCATCAGAGTTTGTTCATATACAGTTGTGTCTGGACCGACAGGTTTTGTGAACCCAGAGTGTTTCTGCTCTTGTGGCAGGGTAAATACACTCTGCGTGGTTTATCTGGCAAATTGAACGCTGTTAAGTGCAGGTACAGAAATCAAATGGCCCTCTGTTCTTCTTCCAGTCCCTTAACTGCAGCTCCTGTATACTGCATGTTGCACATCACCTTTTCCTTTCATATTCACCTTTTTCCCACTGCATAATCCATTTTCCAGCTTTTTCTCTAAATAGTTAGTTCAGGGCTGCATGCACTTGCTTGTCTCTTGTATTCTTCCTTATCCTTCTCTGCTGTCAGAATTTGGACAACAGGGAGAAAAATGGCTGCTTGCGGCCTTACCTGAGAGTTAGTGATGTTCAGTCTGATTCAAGGAGTAGATGCCAGATGTCTAGTGTAATTGCTGTTTCTCTTCTCACTGTCTTTAGATTAGTCTTGCTGCATCTGCCAACCTGTTGTCTTCTAGGACTCCTGTACCCTGCTTTTGATGATACTCTGGTCCTTGTAGACACCTAGCCTTGATTCCTTCCATAAGTGTCATCTGTTGTTTCGGCAGTATGCAACATTGTGGGAGAAGGTAGAAGGTGATTGTATATCCTGGAGTCATATAAGTGTCTTCTAAGGTTCTACGTCTTCCCTCTTTTTCCAAATTCAGTGAAGTACAGAAAGGACGATGTATTTTGAAACATACTCTGTTCTTGTGTTCCTGAACTTAGTTTGAAATGTCTTGCTGACTGGAGATGGCCAGCCATTGTGAAGGGAGATGGTCCAAGAAGTACTTGAAAGTTTGAGGGATATTTCAGTGCATCAGTGCGATATAATGGTACTCTAAGCAGCATTAAAATCACTTGAGTACCTGCTTTAAATTTGTATTCAAGAAATAAATTCACTGTTACATTTGGGTTCAGAAAGGAATATTTCCCCTAGGTCAAGTCAACCACATTGGATCCTTTCCCTGTCCTCTGTTTTGTATAGGGTGAAGCTGTCATCTTTACCTCCTTGCCAAGTTAATTTAACAAAGTCCTTTGTTTACTGCAAATGCCTAAGTTTTAGGCAGTGTCCATCTCTCTTCTCTTCTTTTGTCATGTTGTCATTGCCGTGGCTTGTGGCCTTTTGTTGCTCGTCTTAGCACTTACTATGTAGTGTAGGGATGTCAGCTGTCCAGACTGCAGGCTACATAGGAAGATAATGTGGAGTTTTTCATACTTGGCCATATAGTGTATATCACGTACCTCTGGTAGTGATAAAAAAGGGAACACTGGAGTAGTTTTCAAGCAGGTGACAGGGGCTCTCCAAAGATTCCTGCTTTATTGGAGTTGCTTGAGAGCTGTACCCACCATAAGACTGTAGGCTAACAAACCCTGTTACAGTTTGGAAAGCCTTCGTGATGTGTACTAACAACCAGGGCAGATGTTCTGTGACCACTTTTGAAAGGAACCTCTGTTGTACAGTTTGTGACTATGAGAAACTTTAATTTGATAAATCAATCCTTCCCAAACCAATGCAAGTTACTGTTAGGATCTCTCATTAAGGAGATTGAAGGGGTGATAGCAATAATTTTTGTGAATCTGGATGTTTAGGCTTGTTGAATGCTAAGACTCCCTGATAGAAAATTAAACTTGTTCTGTAAAGAAACTGTGCAGGCAGGTCGCAGTTTTATAATGTGCCCAATGACTTTTATTGTGCCCAATGACTTTTATTGTTTCCAGTGTATACTGATACATGTTCAATATAAGTTTCTGTTAAGTTTTAGCCCTATTTAGATTATTTTTTTAACTGGACTTTTGAAGGAGAATCATAGAATGATTTGGTTGGAAGAGACTTTAAAGCTCACCTCGTTCCAACCCCCCTGCCATGGGCAGGGACACCTCCCACCAGACCAGGCCCCATCTACCCTGGCCTTGAACACTCCGGGGGATGGGGCATCCACAGCTTCTCTGGGCAACCTCTGTCAGGGCCTCGCCACCCTCACTGGGAAGAATTTCTTCCTCGTATCTAATCTAGAACTTCCCTCTTCCAGTTTAAAGCCATTGCCCCTTGTCCTATCACTCCATGCCCTTATAAAAAGTCCCTTCCCAGCTTTCTTGTAGGCAATACAGATTCCTTGAAATACTGGGTTATAAATAACTCCAGAGTTTAAAATAACTAAAAAAAAGTATGGAGCATTGTTCTTTAATTTTAAACTTGACATATGGTGGCTGCAAAGGCTTACGCCAGTGTTGGGATCTAGGTGTGTTGGGTCCTGGCAGCAGAATTACAAGAAACTGTACTTCAAGTGAGAGTGAGAGACAGAAGGATTCATAGTTATTTTTGCAGATTAATTGTGTCTGGGAAGCTGAGCAGGTCTCACCCTTTCTCCTGTTTACTCACCGAGTTTTACTGGCAGCAACTAAATACGAGAGAACATAAATGCATGTATACCAGAAGAATGGAAGATAAAGATTGTACTTACTTTTGCTGCTATATCTTTGAGTGTTACAAGTGTGGGGTGAAAAAACCACCCTATCACATGTTTCTAAAATAATCTAAAAATTATCTAAAGGAGTGCAATTTTTGAGGTGTCTTTACTAGAACATGAATCTGTCGGGTTTTTGTCCATTCAAGCTTATGTAAGCTTGTCTTCATCCAAGGCCTCTTTTTTAAAAATAATTCTGAATCTTTAAACGTGAAACTTTTGAAATCCAAATCACTGCTTTCAATATTTAAAAGTTCATGTAACAACTAATGAAATTGCATATCTAATAGTTTGGTGTTTTTCTTTTCTATTTTAAAATAGGCCTTGATGTCAAAAGTGAAGCATGCCAGCGATTTTTTCGAGATGGGTTAACAATATCTTTCACAAAAATCCTTACGGATGAGGCAGTGAGCGGCTGGAAGTTTGAGATTCATGTGAGTTTTTAAAGTTGTGTTTCTGAAAAGCATAGTGATGTCAGTGAGGAAGGAGACCACCTTTGTGACTATGAGGACACTGCAGAGACTGAATCTCATTTTTGAAACTTATCTCAACAGAGAACTGGGAGAACTCTTGTATACATGGCTTGGGTTGTGAGGGGGGGGTCATCCTTTTGTCATTGTTCATTCTTACTGCCTCTGGTGTTTTTGGAAGGAAATAAAACATGAGAGATGATATGGGGGGGAACAGAACTTTGTATGTTCAGTAGTGCAGCTCTTGTTAGGCAGGCTGTCTCTTTGGCCAGCTGTCTAGAGACCTGCTTATTTTTATGTGCGTGCTAGGACATGAAAACTTGCTTTTTTAGTAAAAACTTTCAGCGGCCTGCTAGCTTCTTAGTGTTTGTAGCAGCTGCTTGAATATAAAAACTACCTGTTGGCCAGCTGGTCACATGCAAAATGAGAAACTGTAAAGACAAATTAAAATCTGAGAGAGAAATAGGTGAAAGAAGGAAAATTTAATAGTTCAGTGGTGACTTGTGAATGTCTTAACCAAAAATATTTGTGTCTTTTTCCTAAATTTAATTTTTAGCTGAAAACAGTTTAAAGTTTGTCTAAAGCCTTTATTGGAGGAAGTACAAATTAAAATACAGCGTTGTAAAACTCTCATGCAACTCTACATGCTAAGTACAAGTGGTTCAGAGTTTGTAATCTATATTCATTGTACAGTCACCTGCCACATTCTTGGTGGTTGTTTTTTTTCTTAATAGAGATGTATTATTAACAACACTCATCGACTAGTAGAACTGTGTGTGGCCAAGCTGTCCCAAGATTGGTTTCCCCTTCTTGAACTTCTTGCCATGGCCTTAAATCCTCACTGCAAATTCCATCTATACAATGGTACTCGCCCCTCAGAAACTGTTCCTGCAGGAGTCCAGCTCGCTGAAGATGAACTATATGCCCGTCCTCCGGACCCACGATCACCAAAGGTACAAGAGCGTTTTTAGACCTGTATTTTTAATTTTATGCAGCGTTACCTGATGACGCAGTAGCCATAGAGCAAGTGTTTCTAGAAGGCGAAAAAAAACCCCTTCATTCTCTGTATCACTAGGATGTTCTGCTGCTTTTGACTCTTAACTGATAATGATTTAATGTGCGTTTCCCCTTCTAACTCTTTCAGTCTTTGGTCCACAATCAAACTGTGTCATGTGTTTCTGTGGTAAGCTGGCACAAGTCTATTGGAATGCCATTCCTACTGTGTTAATTGGCTTGCTTGTATTTGCCAGTTAATGGATTTACCTTCCCCCCAACAATTTTGTAGATGACATATTTTGAGGAGGAGATTATGTGATAAAGTAGGAATTTTCTCTCCCTTTTCTTATAGTTCCCAATGATGGGAGAAATGTTTTTGATTGGACATGGGATGCTAGTGTCAGTGTGGTTTTGGGTTTTGGGTTTTTGTTTGTTTGTTGTTTTGTTTTGTTTTGGATTTTTTTGGGGGTTGGTTGAGGGTTTTGGGTTTGTTTTTTTTGAACTGGCAGTGCAGATTAGTAATCTATTGTGGTTCTTGGGTCTGAATTTTTCAGAATTGGGCTCCAAATGGCATTGGTACAACTTCAGGAGCAAACTAAATTATATTTTCATTATTTTACTTTTTTTTTTTCTCATTTGTTTTTAGTAGAACGGCTAACTGTTGATACCCAAGAACCAAAGATAAAGAACTCTGTGTCCTTGGACTTCCTTGCATTGCTAACCATGTTTAGAAGAATGTTATTTTGCATTCTTACTGCTTTTATATGCAGCATTATCACATCCAGGACTGGAAAAAAATACCAGAATCATCATGCTTTCTGTAGTAACTTAGCAGCCAAAGCTGAACCTGAAGTATAGTCATTTTTATTCCTATATACTTGATAAATTTATTTGAATAACTAATATACAACATCTGTTCTTTGACATGATAATGGGAAAGATCTTGTTGCCTATTTCTAAGCATTTCCTTAAAGCTGAATATTTAAACTATGTAGGCAAGTTCACTGACAATTCTAATACCTTCTAACAGGTGATTGTGTAAGGACTTTTTAAAGCAAGTTTTGTTACTAACAGGTACTTGAAAGTGTTTCTAGCTGGTAATTTGTAAATGTCAGAGAATAACTGTTTGTTGTATTACAGGGTTGGCTAGTAGATCTTATCAACAAATTTGGCACATTAAATGGATTTCAGATCTTGCATGATCGCTTCATGAGTGGATCAGCCTTGAATGTTCAGATAATTGCAGCGCTCATCAAGTAAGTTTTTTAAAAATAATTCACGTATTTGGAAAAGTTGGACTAAGTATAAAACGCTATGTTAGTGCAAAGCTTAGTCTTTTCTTGAAGCACTTGCCCTCGCTCCATCTCTTAACTAGTTGTGTTTACCTTCAGCATTTCATGTGCTTGTAAAATAGACTTGAGTTTCTTGAATTGCTCCTTACTATTTTAATATTACACGACTACCGATTATGGCACTTTCATCCCATTTTTTCTTTCTTTTTAGGCCATTTGGACAATGTTACGAATTTCTAACATTACATACAGTGAAGAAATATTTCCTTCCAATTATAGAAATGGTTCCACAATTTTTAGAAAATTTAACAGATGATGAACTGAAAAAAGAAGCAAAGAATGAAGCCAAAAACGATGCTCTGTCAATGATAATCAAATCTCTAAAGAACTTAGCTTCAAGAGTTCCAGGACAAGAAGAAACTGTAAAAAACTTAGAAATATTTAGGTTAAAAATGATACTTAGGTGAGATGCTGCTCCTAATCTGATATGCTACTGCTGACTTTTTTTTTTTCCCCCACACTTCTTACATTTAATTTCTCTTGCAGGTTGTTACAAATTTCTTCTTTCAATGGTAAAATGAATGCACTAAATGAAGTTAACAAAGTAATATCCAGTGTGTCATATTATACTCATCGACATGGTAATCCTGAAGAGGAAGAATGGCTTACAGCTGAAAGAATGGCAGTAAGTTCTCCTCTTCACTGAAATTCATTTAATAGAATTTCTTCCTCCTTATTACTTTAATTGTGGAAGTAGCTATATATTATGGACCCTGCACACACTGCTAATATTCATATGTAGTGTTATAAATAGTAGGTATCATGTCATACTAATAAGACATTTTAATAGTAATCTTTCTGTGAAAAAAATGCTGTATTTGTTTCAAAGCTAGTGTTGAGAATTATTTTCAGTGCTGCTGAAAGCGTGCTTTAAAAAGGGATCCTTGAATAGCATGGGTTTTATATAGTGTTTAAAAAAAAGACAAACCTAGATAAAACAGGTGTGATTCATTTGAAATTTCAGTGCCACTGTACCCAAGAATTGAATGTTCATATTTAAATAAGGATATAGTCTAGGTTTTGTGCTTCAAGTAATTTTTTCTCATTAGAGTTCTGACTACTCTGCTTTTCACATTTCAGAAGCTGTATTCTTTGGTACAGAAAGTTCCAGATATCACATTTTTATTTTATTTATTTAATAGTTACATACTTTGAATACTGTTTCATGCTTGAGTGCATATGTAGGAAACTATTAAACCGAACATTTATAAAGTAAGGACAATTTCCTCTTCATCTTTGTGAAATTTAATTGTGTTAAGTGATTTTTGCACTATTCTGCCCCATCTTTGTGACAGAATTACCTGTTGTGAGGTTTATAATCTGCAAAAGGACTGCTGACAAAAAAGAATGACAGCAGTTTGACTTTTTAAAGCAATAGGAGGAAATAGGTCTCTTTTTTACTTGATCCCTATAGTTTGGCACCTCAGACAAGACCTCTGTCTCTAAATGAAAACTTCTGGATTGAAATATTTCATGAGACTAGCTTAAATATTGTAAGTCTGTAATCAGGGATACTGTTGAAAGGTATGATGCTGTGTACGTTTGTTTTCTTTTTCAGTGCTCAAAGCACACACTGGTTTGCTTCAGTTGGAACAAAAAAAATACATGACACTAATCTGACTGTGTTAATGACAGCACTGAAAAAACTGCATCTACTTAAATATGGCATGAATATTTGCCACTAATTCAATTAGAAGCATTTTAAAAAACCCCCTATAAGTGGCAGTACTTAAATAATCTAACCTTTTTATATTTCAGTCCTTGCTTATGCCGTTTTTATGTGATGTACTGTAGGCACACCAGTAAAGCCAGAAGTGTCTTAAACAATTTGGTTTCGATACTTAATGACCGTGAATTGGAAGAGAAGAATTTTGTTCCTTGAATAGCAGAGTTAACTGTTCTTCCTGTTGGCTTTTTATGGTTGAAGTTGTTTGAACATTTTTATGCTTTGAGTTCATGATTTTAATACGCCGGAAAAATATTTCCCCTTAAGATATCATAGCGACGAGCATATTGGATTATTTAAAATGCTGATTTTTTTTTTTTAAGAGGAAATTAAAGTTTGAGATAAATACCTTCCTCTTGTGCTGCATCTTTCTCACTTCTCCCAGTTAGAATATGGTATACAAGTAATTAATCTGTAACAAGCTGAAAATTTTCTTTTTGTCTTAAATATCAGTGACAGCACTTCAATAATTTGGGATGACATTACTTTCTTTTTATATGCAGGAATGGATCCAGCAGAATAATATTTTATCAATTGTGTTGAGAGATAGTCTTCATCAACCTCAATATGTAGAGAAGTTAGAGAAAATTCTCCGTTTTGTTATCAAAGAGAAAGCCCTCACTTTGCAGGATCTTGACAACATTTGGGCTGCACAGGTAAAGAATACAGATGCTTGTCTGCTACTGCACAGGAGGGATCTTGTTGTATGTCATGTATTGAGAAGGCAACTTGTGCTTCTTTTGCTTGCTGTTAGACAAAACTAAAGAAAAATTTAAAATCAAAGGGTGTTCTTCTTTTGAGGTCCTCTATCTCAAAATTGTCTTCTCAAACGTCTTCAGCAGAAGGGGTCAACTACACATGTATGTAAAGTCTAAAGGAACAGTTCAGAACATGGTGGAAAGATTACCTTTTGTAGGTATTAAGGAACCGTCAAGATTGAGCAAAGTCTAGATTATGAAAGAACATGGTACATGATGACTTACACGTTCTTAATGCATTTTAAAATATTATTGCTAATCTCCGAGTTTGCCACAGTTGTATAAATTTTTCCTAGGCAGTGCACTATTAATAAGGCTTTTAATAATGACTGTTCTAGAAGTTGTTTAACAGCAAATCCTTTGTGTTGTAATGATTATTTTTGAAAAATTATAAATTTTGCAATGTTGGCTTGTTTACTTAAATGATTGGTGAAGCTGGGCTTCCTAACTGTGGGCTGCATGAGTTTAGCACGCATAATGGGCAGCTGAAGAGACAAAATCATTATTAATTATTGAGTAGAGAGAAAATAAAAGTTCATTTTAGGATAGAAACAAGGATGAGTACTTAGATCCTTGTTCAAAAGTAATGGGTAGTGAAACTCTAACTCAATTGTACAAGTAAGCCCTCGGGCCAGGCTTTCAAGCGTGGGAAGGCTAAATCTGGTTTCCAAGATAGAGTGCTGTACTGGTTTGGCAGGGATAGAATTCAGTTTCTTCATAGTAGCTTACATGAGGCTATGTAGGTAAAGCCAAAGATTTACCTGTTAAACTCTTTATCTCAACCCATGAGTTTTCTCACTTTTACCCTTCTGATTCTCTCCCCAGTCCAAACATGGGGTGGAGAGTCAGGGAGCTTAGTTGCCAGCTGCGGTTATACCACACAAAGGCTAGTACAGGAATTGTGTAATATTATATCGCTAATTTATGTGTGTTCATGCTCTTGTGAAACTCACAGTTTGGCTTTAGGGACACCTGGATAAGTTCACTTTTTTCAGGCGTGCTGTTTTCAAGTTACATTTAAAACACTTGGGACTACAGGTGATATAGTGGAGGGTTGACTTGAGATCTCTGATGTGTCAGTTAACTTCATAGTCTCTGGACTTTGATTCCAGCGTGATAGTAACTGCACAGGCTGAAACTCAAGAGTCTTTATTTTCTTGTTATCCCTAAGTCCTGTTTAGAAAATGACATCATGTAACAGAGCAATACACAGATTACATGAATTAAGGTCTGTGATCATACTGTTAGTTTTCAGCTTGTGGTCTGTAGAGCTTTAGAGACTGTAAGAAGTTTGGGGAGAAAAAAAGACTGAGAAGTTGGTTTGCTGTTAGTAGGCTTGTAGTAGCTATATTAGAGCCTCACCTTTTATAAGGAAAAAAAGGAGTCTGAAATTTGGAAAAAAGTCTTCCGAGCAATTGTATTACTCCTAGTGCCTGGAAATGGGACGTGGACAAACTAGTTTAAGCCAGTCTTTTTACCGTTTCAGAGAAGTGTGAACAAGTGGTGCAACCCTTAAAAGATGGGGGTAGTCCACCCCAACAATTGCAAAAAGAAAATTTAGGAATGAATTTCCTATGCCCTCAAATACCCAGCTTACTCTGCTAACTTCTTATGCTTTCAATTAGATAGTTGCCATAGTTCACTTGCTGTAGTTTTGCCCTGTATTTTTTTTGTGTATGTGTGAAAGTTGAATTCAGTAATTCTTCCTCAGGTAGATGGTTTCACTGTGGCTTTGGCCATGGAATTAAAATAGACTAAAAGGTAAGAATACCAAAATCTGCTGTACCAGAATGATTTTTACCAACTTCGCTTCTCCCTGTGTTTAGTAGTTTTTAGAAGTTCTTATTAAATGACTGCTTCTAAGAGCAGCTGGAGCATGAAATTCAGTAGCGAGAAGTTGACTTACTGTGTAGTTTTATATAACAGGCAGGCTATTTTAGCTTTGGCTCAGTGCAGCAACAGCGCGGTTGTACTTTCAGGCTAGAGCTGTTAGGTTGCTGCCTGGGTTTAGAGGGTGAACATACACAAATTTACAATTGACAGTATAGAAGTGCCCTGAGAATATCAGTATACAACTGCAATAAAAATAAGTGGTTTATGAAAAGTAATGTAACAGTGCTACTTTTGCCTTTAGAAGGCCGCATAATTTTTAAGTTTTATTGAAGTATTTTAATGACTTGCAAAGCCAGTGCTCACAATATAGAAATATATTTGATTCAAGGAAGAATGTTGGAAGTCGCTAAAGGCAAGCATTAACTTGCAGCCTGTTCAGTTGCAGAGAAAGATCCAGCTGGACAAAACATAAAATTGCAGAGATTAGTGTTGGAGTCTCATTGCTTACATGCTGGAGTATTTAACTAGACCTTTACAGGCACTTCCCTTTTTCCGCACAGCAAGCTGACAGTTCACATACCAGGTTCCTTACCTCCTCCTGCCGTCTTGTGCTGCCTCACCAGCCTTTTCTGTTCTTAAGGGCTTCCCCGTGTCTTTTAAAAACCTCCCAAGACTGTTACGTGCCTTGTTCTTAATCTTCTTCCTCTGCCCCCCCAACAGCTGTGCATACTTCTGCTTTTATTTGTTATATTGTAGATGCTCTTTCTGCCCTGTGTGCTCTCAGTTTTTCTTTCTGTTCAGGAAATGGTTTGGTAAGAGGAAAAATAATTATACGATGTTTTGCAAAATCAGGTGGAGTAAGTGGTTTAGTAGTTCTCTCTCTCATAATCTGACCCATAACATGAAAATGAATGATACTACTTAAATTCACTTTTTTTGAAGAAAAATTTATGGCACACTATAAAGAATTTACAGCATAGCATGTAACAAAGCTATTAGTCTCTTTTTTTAAGTGAGCTAGTGGTGCAAGCTTCTAGAAGGAAATGAATTTAAAAACTGCTCATGTATGCATTTTTAATACTGTACAAGATTAATTACATCAGAGTTTGTTTTCTAGGTATTTGTTTCACATTTTTTTAATTCTACACTTACAGGAAATTTGTCTACAGTAAATCAGCTATTGATTCACATAGTCCAAAATTATTGCTTTTGAGTGCAGATTTAGAGTACAGGGTGCATTTTCCAGCCTAGGCATGTAGGAAGGAAGTTTTCTTCTCACCTAGAGTTAAATTTGAGCTACCTGTTTTTTTCCTTATTGTCTTCCTCCTTAAACGTCAAAATTGTGATATACACCAAACTCTTGTTTAAAACCATTTCTAGTCTATAGCTCAAGGTCTTGCCATCAGTTGTTTGATTGTTAGACTTTGTAAGATTGTAAACTGCTGGACTTTAAAACATTGTCTGCCAACAAGTTGTTTGTAATAGAAAGCTTTATTTGTCCGTGAATCCACTGGCGCAAAGCAAGTACTTCAGCCTGAGAAACTATGTGGAAATACTAAAAATTGTTTTGCAGCTGAAAACATCTCAAGGAAATTCATTGATGAAGTGGGTTATGAGTCCTTCCTTAATAAAAAAAAAACCAAACAAACAAAACAACAAACCCCCAAACCTACGTTAATTTAAGACACTGATTTGTAAGTTAAAATAACCTTTTAGACTTTATTGTCTACTGTCCTAGCATGATTTTGTTAAAAAAAAGAAATATTGTGACCTTGCAGTATTTATATTCTAGATAAATACTTGTGTGTGCACACGCAGAGCACACTTAAATACTTACACATACAGGGAAAATCTAAATATTGTGACTTGCCAGCGAAGTAAGTATTCAGTTTACCACGCTGCTCCCACATCAACTTTTCTTGCCAGCCACCTCAAACAATCTTGTAAAAATGATGTAGAATGTCTTACTGCTTGACTTAATATGGATTGCTACAAATGTTGATGGATTCTTTTTGTCTTCTTGACAGGCAGGAAAACATGAAGCCATTGTAAAAAATGTACATGATCTTCTTGCAAAATTAGCTTGGGATTTCTCTCCTGAACAACTTGATCACCTGTTTGATTGTTTTAAGGTAACTACTCATATTTTGACTGTATTCAGGAAATGGGTTATGAAGTTGGATACAGATTTGTGACTCTCTTCAACATCTACTTTCTGCTTATTTTAGATAGTTTCCTAATCTTAAAAGACTTCTTAATGGGTAGCAACAGTCTGTAATATATTAGAAATGCTAGATTGTGCTATTCTTTAATGAGCATTCATTGTGAGACTTCCCATTTGCTTCTTGTCTAAAGCAAAGGGTAGTTATGCTGATTTAATTCACAATTTTGTCTTCTGGTTTAAAAGCTTTTGGGTAGTGCATGTCCGTTGAGGCCTGTAGTATTAAAGTGACATTTACTATCCTAGGAATACTGAATTTTTCAAATAAATTAAGTTATTTACCTTAAATATCTTTTTGCATTTGTTCCAAATTATTGTGTGTTGGTGATTTTTATAAATAATGTTTTTCTCCTAGCATTAGGGTAGGTTTCATCGTGTTTACTACACATTGCTACTTTTGATCTTTAAGTAGAGGAGATCAAGGATTTCCATTCCCTGCTCCCCCAACTTCCTCTCTATCATGTAATAATTTTTCTCTGGTTAACATCAATACAGAATAAAATAGTCTCAGGAAGATAATGTTGAATGTTTATAAACATAGAATGGTTAGATTGAAATCACAAAACTGCTTGTTTCTGAAAGTTTGTTATTCACTTGCTTTTTATGTATGGTAACGTTAACATTTGTAGCTTCCAGTAGTGGTGCTATCCACTTGTTTTACTGTTTCCCTTTTAGGAGGTGATCTGCTGTATCAGAAAATGCAAGCCAGCTTTGTAGACTCTGTTTTCTGTTTTTAGATAAATGTGTCATAGTCACGTTTTGGCTTATGTGCAATTTGTGCTCCGATTAGCAGGGGTCCTCTAGTTTGGTCAATGTGGATCTAATGTTCTGTGATCTAGATACTGAACTAAATGCTCAGAAATTCTCGGTGTAAACTGTCACAAGTTGTGTCTGACCTTGAGAGAGGGATATGAAGTAATGTTATATTGGAAACTTACTCAGAGAAAGGTTAAACTAATGCAGAGGACATTTGTTTCAGTCAGATTCAGAGGCATGAGTGCTATTACAATTTTACTCCTTTAGTGATGCTAGGTTATTTAAGAAATCTTTTTAAGTATAAGCACAGGAGTTTTGAGAAAGCATTTGCAAGAAACAGCTGAGTCCACTCTATTTTGACTGGTGAACTTGTCAATGGTAATGTTAACTTTTACAAGCATATTTGTGATCTTTATTTAAAGATCCTTTTTTTTTTTAAGTCTCAAGTTGAATACAGTTTTGTTGTAAGCACTAGAAGAGCTATTCAGTTGTGTCTGACTTATGTATTGATCCAATGTGCTATTTATTTTTAATGAGAGAAATTAATGTAGAAGTTCTTTATATAGTTGCATCACTTTATTGTTGCATCATTTGTTAATGGTGCAGGTTATGTGTGGAATTAAAAAAAAAAAAGACTGGTTTTCATATCAAATAAAATATTTTCTTAGGCAAGTTGGACAAATGCAAGCAAGAAGCAACGTGAGAAACTACTTGAGCTAATTCGTCGTCTTGCAGAGGATGACAAGGATGGTGTGATGGCACACAAAGTGCTGAACCTTTTGTGGAATTTGGCTCATAGTGATGATGTACCAGTTGATATCATGGACCAGGCTCTTAGTGCCCATATTAAAATCTTAGATTACAGCTGTTCACAGGTGAGTAATCTGGTATGTTCTTTTGTGAAATCAGTCACTGACCGTTTCCTTCCATCCCCCATGAAAAGTTCAAAGGATTCAGTAATTTTAACAAAAATGTTCCTTATCATAGATTTTTGTTATTCTGCAGTCACCTCGGTACTTTTAAAATGTTATGGGAACTATTTTAAATAACACAGTTCATGCTTTAATTGGAGAGAGTGAAATACATCAGTTTGCCTGTCTTATTTCAATTGGTGCCATACTGTAATGACCACATTGGAGGAATTGGAAAAGAACTCTATCAAAGTAAATAGGGAGAAAGGAAAAGCAGCCCCCCTCATGTCTTTGTGTTTTTTCTGAACTCCATTATAATAATTTGTTTGGGTGGGGTTTTTTTTTAGTAAGTCCTTATATGTCTTGTTTAATATTAGAAAGGACCTAGCAAAGGGCAGTGAAAACTATTAAACGCTCTCCTTCCCCACCCAGACTTCTGTGGAAGTCTGCCAGAACTATAAGTCATTGTGGTTTGAAATGAATCCATTATCTGTCTTGACAGCCCCTGGCAGATTTTGTTTCTTAGCTGTTAAGAAAGAGTTTCTCATTGTTTTCTTGGTATTTTATAGCAGTTTTGCTTTGAGTACCAGTGAGTAGAACTAATTGAAAGAACGGAAAGAGCAAATTATTTAAACACTGGTGATCGTATCTAGCAACAGGTTTTCTTAAATAAGTACTGAATGCCTGAGTGCTTGAAGGCAGAGGGTTTGTAACCCACTGATAGCTTCTGCCAAGAGGTAGTGCTGCTCGGGTAATTTTCTTATGGTTGTATGCTTCAGAACTCAGTTGATCTAGTATTTGTGTGGCTTTCTGTGTTCTGCTCTGTCTTGGAAGCAAATAAAGTAAGAGAATAATGACCGTTTCTGCAATAAACTTGATATTTTGATTATAAATGCTTGTTCTTTAAGGATCGAGATACACAAAAGATCCAGTGGATAGATCGTTTTATAGAAGAGCTTCGCACAAATGACAAATGGGTCATTCCTGCACTGAAACAAATTAGGGAAATTTGCAGTTTGTTTGGTGAAGCACCACAAAACTTGAGGTAAGAATGGAATGCAAATAATACTTAGACTGTTGAAAGTTGAAGGAGTTGGAATGAGGCAAACCTTAAATTTTTTTCTTTTTTTTTTTACAAAAGGCAAGGAAAGCCTAGGTAAAATCATAACCTGTGTTGGAAGATGTTCTTGAGTTTGTTTTAAAGTGTATAAATAGCCTCTAAAAATTCAGGCACCTAGGTTCAGTAGGAGAGCGTTAACTGTTTCCTCAAACATGCTTTTACTAATATTTAGAATAGCGGTCTGTTTTCTGGAAAACCTAGGTTTGTTTTTCTATTATCTGTGGACTTCCCTGCCTAACAATGGAATTACCTTACAAAGTATAAATATATTTATGTGCATATATATATATGTATACACACCCAACCCTATTCTTTGATCGTAAATTTATACAGGTCATCTAGTTTGTATACTTGAAACCAAAGGTGACGTTTTTTGTCTGGGAAAAATACTCTACTGATTCTCTCTCCTGAATGGAAGAGATTAGAAATGTGTTGGGCTTCTTGGTTTTGTTTTGGTGGTTTTTGTGGTTGTTGGTTATTTGTTTTGTTGTTGGTTTTTTGTTTGTTTTTTTTTTTAGTTTGAGGAGGGGCATTGTTTGTTTGTTTTTTAAAAGGAAGGAAAAAAGAAAAGCCGTTGTCTGTTTGGACTTCTTAAAATATGTGTGCTTGTTTTCATTATTCTAAATGTCTTCTCACTACAGAAATATCTGAGATTCCCTGCTCCTAACAGGTTTTGTATCCACATCAGAATTTTTACAAACTCCGGAAAAATGTTGTTTGCTTATCGGAGTTGCATAATTGCTTTGTTTTAATTTCTGTAAGCAGGTAAACTATTCAAATCAATGTTGCTATTACAGTCTGCTTACAAGAAGGATCAAGGCAGGAAAAGTTGAGGAAGATAAGCCTTCAGTTTACACAACACTGTCTTCTTACTGATACTGTTTTAAGGAGCTGTGATAATACTGCATTCCTGGCTTTTGGAGGTTTCTTTATGCATTTAGTTTGCAACATCTTTCTCAATTCTCATGATACTTTAATCCTTTACAGTTTACATTAGTGATTGATTGAGGTTTTTCCAACAAGGTCACAAAGTTACCTCCTTATTAGCGGATAAGTCTGTTTTCTGCATCTTGGAGCCCTGAACCTTTTACATGCTGTAAGATCCAGGCAAATGTAGCTACCTGGTTATTTGTGACACTTGTTTAAGTTGAATGCTTTTTAGCACAGCACCTTAATGAAGAGGCTTTGCTTTAAGTAATTATTGAAGCAGAACTCATTCAAGGCACTGATTAGATTTCTACTCTGAATTGATCTTTGGAGGAACCTAACTTGTTTTGGTTGTGGAAATCTAGGTTCCCTGTATGGTATGTGTACAGTTAGATGGCTTAAATATCTATCTATCTATCTCTGTTTCTTGGGGTTTTTTGGTTGTGAGGTGTGTTGTTTTGTTTTTGGGTTTTGGTTGTTGTGGTTTTTTGGTTTTTTGGGGTTTTTTTTGTGAGATCATCTCTTCCATTCCTTAGGTTTCAGGGAAGTCTGCATTGCAGTATGGAGTAATTCCTCATTTTTATGCAGAATTTGAAAACACATATGGCAGGAAAGTAAACTTTCAATTAAAACCTTTAATTCAAAGGGACTTACAAAGACCTCTTCCTGTAGAGAAGCCTTTGTTAGCAAGATACTGTTGAGGGAGTTTTTTAGTCAGGTAATACTACTGCCCAGGTGACTGGGAAACCTAGTGAGTGAAAACATCATTTTGAAGTAATCTGTAATTTTCCAGTCCTCTGAGTTTTCTGATAACTCTTAACATTCATACAGTTTGGAAATTATAATGCACGTATCCAATACCTGTTCCTATCCGCTTACCTCATCTGACTGAGAACTTTAATCTATTAACATCATTCTAGAATGTGGATCGAAAAGAAATCAAAACAAATGTTTGTGACAACTCCCTCAAACATTTCATAGAGCTTTCTGCGTGCAACATTAATCCCATAATCTATATACTGCTCTTTTTGAGGTGGTTCGGTTAATTGGCACTGGCAATTAGGAGTTCACTCCAGAACAGCTAAGGTTGCTGATTCTTGGCAAAAATAAGTATAAATTATGTTATGCCATGGGCACTGTAGAGATTCTTTTGAGGAGGAGGATTTGATTGTTGCTAGTTATTCATGCAGTTGAGCAAAGTGTCAAACTGATTCTACCATTGCTTTGGCAAAACTTAACTCCCTGACAGCAAAGAAATGCTACATGTTTTGGGAAGCTTAACTTAACCAGAATTGAAACACCATGAGAAAATAATTCTTATTTAGGTGCAAGGATTCTTACAGATACAAGGATACTTATTACGAAATAGTCAACTTTGCTCAACATACTGAACTTCAGTGTACAGATAATTAATCATCTTAATTTTCTCTGTGTTGGCTGATGGAGGTAGAGCCTTCTGTAGGCCAATTTCAAGCACTTAAGTTTGACCTGTATCTACTCAAGCAATATAAGATTGGTCTCCTAAATTACTTGCCCAGAAGAATTAGGTGAGCGTTGACAGGATCTTCTGTAAGAGTTTAGGGATTTTGTTAGTGCTTTAAAGCAACAATGATGCTAGCTTCAAGTCACTTTTCAGCCTAAATATAAGAGTTTAGTGGGTTTGGTCAGTGCTATTTGGGCCTTTAATGTCTGCTTTAATGGTACATAGCTTTTGAAGTTGAGAATTGTTCTACTAGACAAACAAATGCTGTGTTACATGTGCAGTATTATGTTGGTCAAGTTATATGTGCAGATAATTTTTTTAAAATCCGTTTAAGTTATTTGGAATTTTGCCCTTGTCACTTTGCCAATGTTTTTCTAGCAAATAAGCATGCATTCTAACTACGAAATCTCCTTTTTAGTATTTCCAAAGTACTTTGACAGCCATTTCAAAATGCTAATTTTTCTTATGTATTTGATATCCATTTAGTAGAAACACAATGAAAAGATGAATTCTGCTGTTAACCTCAGTTTTTCACACTCCTCAGTTATTACTAAAGGAATATGTCCCATTGGCCACATCATCATATAGCCTGACCTCAGAAGCTTAAGGAATAATTCTGTAGTTGCAAGTGGAGTTTGCTTTAATTCTAGAAAGTCTTGTCAGATCAGCTTTTTTTTCTGTCCCTAAAGACAGTCGTCTTGCCTGTGACTGCATTGTAGGAGATGATGAAGATAATAGCTTAAATGTTGCTTACAAATACTATGGCACAACTCACAGCTCATAGCTCATAACTCTAGTTACTGCAATTATTCAACTTTTAGAATTAGTTGCTTACCAAGATGAATCCATGTGTCCAAATCTACTGTTTGTGTACATGGCTGAGAAAGGAGAAATTAAAAAATGTCTGGCGCAGAACAGTTATTTAGTCTTCTGCCAATAAAGGTTTCTTTTTGCTTTACTTTGTAAGGTTGGTACAAGTGCATAATACTATGAGTATATAAACACATGCTCCAGTAGCTTGATTCTGCAAGGTACCCCATCTTGCTTCTGCTTGTTCCTTTAGTTGTTTCATCATATGTATCTCCCAAATAGTTAAATGGTCTTATTTACTGTTACCCTTTGTAAGTGCATGTCTCTATCTGGAGGGGACATCTCAGGTAGCCACTAAAATAGAGACATCCCATCTTTTGCTGGTTTTGCTGTTGGTTTATGCTGAGCAAGGAGGGTTGGTGGCGGTCGAATGAAGTGTAATTGGAAGTGTCTCAAAGTGAAAACTGAGGATGTTCTTTCTGGGTATATGAACTCCTCTGTGTTTTCTTCCTTCATGCTTCCATCCATTTTTTTTCCTCTCTGACAGATGTCTGGATCTTTTTTTTTTAAACACAATTTGTGTGTTTTAAATGCCTCTTCCAAGCTATTTTGGAAAGCTCTGCATGTTGCAAAATTTAATCTTCTGAAGACCCCTGTGCTTAGCAGGCCAAATCCGTTGGTTGCAGATAGCAAAATTATTGGAAGGGTGTTGATGGCTTCTGTTTTTTAAACCCAGATAGACGGTGATCTTTGGCCCGATGAATCATTTTGTCTGTTGTTGTTACATCTACAGTGAAATGTGGTTATCAGCTGGAGGATCATTATCAGCTGATGTTGGACCTGGCATTTCTTGCCTTCCCTACTGTTCTCAAAAGGTGTCGCAATACTGTACAGTGGTGTGGATCCTGTAGGATGGGGACCCTGTTTCCTAGGAAGGATGAGAATTCCTACCTGTAATCTGTTCAGCTCATTCTGGGGTCTACTTTCTTAAGTATTGAAGGAAAGGAGAACAGTTCTGGAATCACATTTTTATTTTTTCAGGGCAGGCTAGGGGATCAGCTGAGTGGCAATACAGTGAGGAACACACACCCACCCCCTTTTTTTTTTCTCCTCCTTTTTTTCTCTTTTTACCATGGGAGAACAGCACAAGTTTGCATTGTTTATGCGGGAGAGATCAGTGCTCTGATCTACAGAAGTTGAGGCATTTTGAGACTGTTCTGCAGAGGTGTTTAGTCCCTAAATTCTAGAATTTGATAGTGTTCATAGCATGTGGGTTTTGGATCCAAGCTCAGTTTTTTCTCTTGCAGTTTACTTTTGTAATCTGAATATATCTAGTATAGTCTAAGAGTGGCATTTTTCAGTCAGATCTTGATAATATACTTAAATTATCATCTATTTATTTGGGGTATTTCTTTCCTTGAACTTTTCTAGTTTTTTTCTTGAGTGTATGCTCTGCGTAACTATGCTTTTTTTATGTTTGTACCAACATCTTTCCAGATAGAAGTTGTTAGAAAAAAACAAATAGTGCAGAGTTGTGCAGTTTTTTCCAAGTATTGAAAGAATTGGCGTGATTTTTGGCGAGTATTTCTTTCGCTATAGTTTTAAGACCATGAGCTTTCATTTTGAAAATTGACGTAGTTTTACTTAGTGTTTTAATATTACATTCAGAAAAGAATATCAGATGTGGAAGAAACTGTGGTGATGTGTATCGTAGTTATACTACAGTTGAGGATCTCTGTCTTTACTGTGCAGTTTGTGGGCAGGTATTTCTATTCCTGTCTTGCTGCAGATATTCTCCCTCCAGCATACTGAGCTGCTCAGCTTGGTTTGATATTTTTCATACGTAATATAGCTGTATAATCCTCATAAATTAACTGCTTTTAGTAACTGGTAAGAACTGTTCATGTGTCAGAAGAAAAAAAAAATATTGTCAGAGACTTAATATGTTTTCTGTTAGAGATCTTTTAGGAGAATATGAAACTTACATCAAAGATGAGTTTCTTAAATTGATTTCTGGACTGTTAGATGCAAGACTTCTCCGCATTTCTTATAACACTTGTATTTTAATTTCAGTCAAACTCAGCGAAGTCCCCATGTGTTTTACCGACATGACTTAATCAATCAACTTCAGCACAATCATGCCCTAGTTACATTGGTTGCAGAAAATCTCTCTGCCTATATGGAAAGCATGAGGCAGTATGCTAAAGGTAAGTTTTAAAATAAAAAGTACCTCATAAATAGAGTGTATGAGAACTCCAGTTGAAAATGAAGTTAAAAGTAAATTCTCATAATTAAATAACTATTAAATTTGTTTAGTTATTGAGCATCTCTGGGGTTGATAGCCTTTGTGGTGTCTGATTGGGCAAGAAAAACTTAAAATGTAAACATTTTGTTTCATAATTGGATGTGGTGTGTTTTACAGCACAATATGGGGAAGTGGTAGCTCTTGTTTATCTGTGGATTGATAAACATCATCTTGCCCTACTTAGGCTAAGGTGGTTATTTTTGTGGAGGGTCCTAATAATAATCTTGTATTTTGTCCCACTTCTAGTTTTGAATTTTTATAGGCTCCTTTGAGAAGTTTGTTTGAAGCTGGTGTTTGGAATTTGTCAGGGAGAAAGACTTTAAACCACAGGGATACCATTTCTTTTTACCATGCAACTCCCATTTCTGTTTAGTTGTTTTCTCACTGCCTTTGTTATCAGCAACACATTGGGAACACATCAAGTTAATATTTATCTATTTCAGGCTAAACTCAACCCTTTGAGTTTACAGTCTTATTCTGGATTAACTTTCTAGCTACTGAGGTAGAAGTAGGGAAGTGAAGGAGAATGAGAGACCAGGAAACTCCTTGTTACACTGGACCACAGTACTTTATTAAGCCAACAGAAGTGAGAAGAGGACATTTATGCCCCCCGTCTACTTTACTGACTGGAACTAGGGACCATTCTACCCTGGCATCGTAACATCCTACCAGCCTTTCAGTTACATCTCAAAAATGACACAGTATGTTATGTAGGAATTCGATGTAGAGTGTTCGAAGAGGACAGGATATTTGCACGTTGTAAGGCATGTGTATGTGTCTTCTAGTGCTTGGGTAAGTTGCCTAGACACCTTTAATTCCAAAATTAATTTCATTTTGGAGTACTTGATAAAAGATATGCAAAATACGTCCTTGAAGACTTGTTTGAATAGTGATGCTATAATGAAGATGATAGCTTCAGCCAGGTATAGGTCAATGAGAATGACACTTAAAATGTGCATGCTGAAGCTATATTTCTCTATTCAGGAATATATGAGGTGGGTTACCCTAATTTAAGTTCCTTAATTAATGATAGCATTGCACTAATTAATGTTAAAGTAATATGAAATGCTTTGTTCTGTTCTCAAGCCATACTGTCTTAGGCTCAGTCTTCTCTAGGAAGGTTGCATCTTAGCTATATGGATAGCTTAGAAGCCGTGATTCTGTCTTTCTCTTGGACTTTGGCCAGCCATTAAATGTGGGGTTTGGCCTCAGGGTTAGGAAGAAAGCATAATCAACAACTGTATTCTAATGCAGTGTTGTATTTGTCCAAAAGTAGGCTATGCATACTATTAATATATGAACTATTATTCATTATTTCCAATTATTTTTGGACTCTGAAGCCACAAGGTCATTTTTGACAATACTGTTTATCTGTGAAATTGTTGATGACTTTGGCAGAGAAATTAGACTGATGTCTTGCGTGATTCTTTTCTTGTGCCAAAAGCCATGTCCCATTGCCCTGCCCCTCTCCAGCTGTAATGACTCGAAAAAGCAGTAACACAAAAATCTTCCTGTACAATAGGAATTGCAAGTGTGCAAAGAGTTTAAAATTAATCTAATTACAAAGCTATTTAATTGTGCCTTCTTGAGATGAAGCTGCGGCAGAACTTCTACTCATTTGCATCAGAGTACAAAGACAGATGAGAAGTAATGTGGATGTTTTTTTATTAGATGCTTTATTACATGATTAAGGGCAGCCGGAAAATACCTCCTAATGTTCCAGATACTGTACTAAGACTAACACACAGTTCCCGTGCAACTCCTCTTTCAGTTTCAGTTTTCTGTACTAAATAGGGGAGAACGGAGAGAGAACACTGAAGTATGCCTTCCTGCAGGAGGAGAAAAGATACTGGGGCTTGGGGGTGTGCAGGGAAGGGAATAAATGAAAGGAAGAGAAAGATGATTATGTTTGTGAGGACAGAAAGAAAGAACTGGACAGCTGTAGAATTAAGCTTAGCTGGAGAAGGTGAATGAGAGAGAAAATTCAAGGCAAACATCCAAACAGCACAGGTCAAACAAATGCCATAGGGAAAAAAAAAAACCACAACCCACAGTTACCCACAGATCTTTTTGGCAGTTAATGCCCCAATTCCTGTGTAATTTGTGATTTATTTATTTTTTTTTTTAATAATTTTGAATTTGCTGTATTTTTATTTGCCTTCAAGGCTTCCATGGCAGTGTTCTATAATGGAGAACAGCGTTCCTATTCTCCTGTTACACACTAATGCATGTTCTTTTCTATCGTGCTCCCTTTTATTTGTTTACCTTTTTAAGGTTTAAGAAAAACCTAATCTATGTTTCAGAATTTTTTCCATGATCTGTGACTTTCTTGTCTACGGAACTTACACTTTCCTCCAGCTCTGCAAAGTCCTCCATGGGATGAGCTGACTACTGTTGCATTGTGTAATCCTGAAGGAGGAGGTCACAGTTTCAGCTCTTTGACTGTTTATCAAAGACCTTTTGAAAATTTTAAAAGATTGCTAGCCAGTTCTCTTATCTTGTTTTTCTGAAGTAGTAAAAAAATCCAAAGTGATAATGAAATGTAATTATTTGTAGAAATTGTGCCATATGATCTTCTGTATGTGTTTATTACTAATTACACTTAAATTTTCAACCAGTCATTTTTTGATCTATAATTTCTCTGTTCATTCTTCTGTTCCTATATGTAGAAAGAATTTTTAAGGAGATCACACCTGGACTTGATGTGGGATACACAGTGTAGAAAATAAATCGGGCAAATGTAGAAAGAAGTGAAGACGGAGAATATTTAGGGAGATGGAATTTTTTTGTAGCTCTGAGTTTTTCAGAGTTCTTAAGTACATGTGTACTGCCTTTTGGCATCTGACTGGCCTTTAATGCTTGAATTTCTCTGTCATTGCTACTGTTGACATTTGCGTCTGTGAATTCATCTCTAATTCAAGGAAAAAAGCCTAGGTAGTCCCCATAGTGAAAACAAACGAACACCACCACCACCCCCCCTGCCCCACCCCAACGAAACAAAATGAAATAAAGAAACTACCCAAAACACTCAACACTTGAAGTAATTAGTTTTAATTTCTCTGCAGTGTGCTTATCAACCGTAATTGTTTCTTCTGCTAGACCTACAGCATATTTCTCAGGTTTTCTACTTTTAATACTTAAATAATTTTTTTCTGCTACTTTTATATTCTTTCTTCAGATTTTTTTTTCACATTTCTTCTTTCGATAATTGCCCATTTATGCTCACTTCATTAGGATTATAATTTAAATTTTTGAAGGATTTCTGGTGAACATAATGTCTTTGGTTTTGTAGACATCAGTTAACTGCTGGTCTTCTGTTTCCTTTTTATTTGATTTTTAAGCTAATGTACCTTTTGCACTTGTATATAGAAAGGAGTGTTTATGACAGTTATTTTTCTCCTAATTCTGAAACACTGATGATGCACTTCAGCTGTTAGACTGGTTTGGTTTGGTTTGGTTTTTTTCTTCTCCTTGATGTAATAGGAGATCCTGATTTTTCAGTTCTGAAGATAAATTTTACTATTGGTCTGGATGTTGTCATGATACAGTTTCCCACAGATGGGTCATCTTAGTTAAATGCAATCTGTATACATTTGCAAGTAAGAAATATAGCATTAATTAGTTTATAATGGAGCTGTTACAAGGAACATGTGTCACGATGAAATATTACTACTACAGTTCAAGATAGTGCAAGTACAGATCTAGATTGTATCTCTTAAAACAAAACAAAACCAGGAAAAAAAACAAAAACAACCAAACAAAACCAAAACAAAACTAAATTCTGTGAAGCAAACAGCTGTTTGTTAAACAAAATATTGTGCTGTGATTTGATAAAACGCAGGTAAAAGTTTGACTTCTTTCCTTTCTTTGAAATTACTCAGCTGCTTGTTTCGAGCTTATTAGTATTGCAGGCATTTGTTTTTTGTACTTGGAAATGTGCAGTAAATAAAATTGTCATATACTTTCCTCCTCTAAGTGATGTCACATACGTAGCTACTTGTAAAGGTGTTAAAGAACTGGAGTCATGATTTCCTCTGGAGGGGAAAAACCCTAAAAATGAAAAACTGAAATTTTAGAAAAGATGCTTTGTAGTGAAAAGAAAGTATTCAAACACGTCCTGTCTTGTAGAGTCAGCATGTCTTTTCTGAATGTGTTGTTTAATGAAACTTTTTATATTTGCAGAGCACGGTGAATATGATCCTCAAACTGTAAGACCAGGAAGCAGATACAGTCATGTGCAGGAAGTACAGGAGCGACTTAACTTCTTACGGTTAGTTTTAGCTTGATCATTTGTTTAATTTTTGTAAGAATACTTTAAACACTTGAAAAAAAAAAAAAACCTCAGCATCTCTTTCTCTTGCCTAGCTTTAAGTTGCTGTGTTAACTTCTTTCAAAACTCAGATGCAAAAATACACGGAATGTTTTGTTTTGTTTTTTTTCCCAGAGGGCTTCTATGCTAGTATGGGAATATTCAAATAAAGTTTATTAGGATCGTTGCAGTCCAGGGCTCTGATTCTGCGCTGAGATTAGTATGGACTTCTTCTGTCTGTGTGCAGAACCCTACTGACTTGATTACAATGTGCATGTGGATACAGTTACTTACATATTGGGATAACTTGGCTAAAAATTTAAAATATTCTATGTAGGGATATGTCCATGTGTCTTTATTTGTCGTGCCACACCAGATGTAAATCCATTGTGATAAACTGACATATACTTCTGTCAGACACAGATGTTAGGTTCTCAGCAGTTGAGCCTTAGAAAGAAGTTGCAATAAAAAAATTATTTGGATGACTTTTGACCAGCTGCTGTTTGAGTAAAATAGGAAAACAAAGAATCTCTGCTGATCACAGAGCTGCAGTATGTTGATGTTCTTTTGGCTTTGTCTTAGCTTTTTCTTACTTGGTTTTAACCTTTTTTTTAGACAAGTAAAAATACGTGAACTGTCAAACTGTCAAGTTCCGAAGTATTTTTTTTTACTTATTTTCTAAGGGAGATTTTTTACCTTTTAAAATTTTACCAAGAATCTTTATTAATTAAACTGAAGTGGTAAACAACTGTTTAATGCAATTGTAGAATAGCATATGGATAGCAGAATTAATTTATCACTCCTGCATGTTAAAAATTGTAACTGCCATGAATTTAAGTTCAGTAGTTGCTAACGTAGAGGAATTTATGAAGTCACATGACTGTCAAATGTAGAATATGTAGATAGCAATTTCTGAAAAGCAGTGCCATAACTTGGACCCTGATTTCTTTTACATAGAAAATCAGAAAAATCATTTTGAATCAGAAAAATCATTCTGAAGAACTTTGAATTTGTTCTTCCTGAAACGTTCTTGGTGTTAGATCTCAGAATTGCAGTTCTTAATAATTATTTAATAACAATTTAACGCGAATGAAAAACTAAATAAAAGGAAAAATTTCCCGTTCATTGACTTCTGCTTCTGACTGTATTCCATAGAACTGATAACTTTATTTTGTCATTTTGCTAAAGTGAATGCTAAAACATACTGAGTGATTGCAGAAGTAATTTAATCTCTTATGTTGTGACCTGACTTTTAAACTAAATAGTTTACGTTAGGAGATGTGCATTTGTTTGTATATAATATGTAAACAATGCTTGGTATTTTTGTGTTCCACATTTTTTGCTGAATGTTATTACTTTTTTGTTTGGACAATGAGGTCTTGATCCATTCAAACTTACTGAGAAATCATGGGGCTAATTATGAATGGACTGATGATGTAAATAAAGTTTTCAGGGTCATGATATATACATGTGTAATATGCATATTCACCTTTTTGCTTGTACTTTTTACTGAATTGTAACTCTAGATGTCTATTAGACAGTGCTGTTAATTGTCTCTTTGTTTTGCTCAAGATTTTTATTGAAGGATGGTCAGCTGTGGCTCTGTGCCCCTCAGGCGAAGCAAATATGGAAGTGTTTAGCTGAAAATGCGGTTTATCTTTGTGATCGTGAAGCCTGTTTTAAATGGTATTCCAAACTAATGGGGGATGAACCAGACTTAGACCCTGACATTAATAAGGACTTCTTTGAAAATAATGTGCTTCAGCTGGATCCTTCCCTATTAACAGAAAATGGAATGAAATGTTTTGAACGTTTCTTCAAAGCTGTGAACTGTCGAGAAGGAAAGCTAGTAGCAAAGAGACGAGCCTATATGATGGATGATCTGGAATTAATAGGATTAGACTACCTTTGGAGGGTGAGTTAATTGGAGGAAACATCTGAAAGGTTAACTGCTAAGTCTTTCTCAGTCTTTTTTTTATACTTTTAGGAATGTGTAATTTATTAGTTATAGACTGAAAGTACAAAAGCTGCTTTTTCAAACTAAATGCATGGATATTGACTCCACTGTCTTCCCAGCAAGTATGCAAGTTGGTAACTTTGCAGACTGATGTTTAATGGAAAGGTGTTTGAAACATCAAGTATATTTGTATATGCACATGAGATTAAAATTTGCCTGTACTGTTGGAGAAGAAAGGATCATTCCAGGTGAATTATCTGTACATTTCTCCCTCTCTCTCTCTCTCTCTCTCTTGTGCAAATTAGAATTAAACTTTGTTTTGTGCACTTCATAAGCGAGTTCATGTCATTCATTCTAGTATGGTAATCTGGAATGATTCTAGATTTGACCAAGCGGTCACTGGTCTGATTCTTTCTCTTATCCACAACCTTTTGCCTAAACATGGTTATAGCTTTTCAATAGGAAGATTGTAGCTTTCTGAAGCTTACCAAATCTCTTGGTGAAAAACATCAGCATCTAATTTGATACTTAATTTTTTCAGAGTATTTCTAATTTTCAAGAGCTACATTAGAACCCACAGTAGGGCACTGTGGCATGATTATCATGGCTGTGTTATGTAAAATGTGCCATATATTAAGCGGCAGTCTTCAGTAATTTTGGTTGTGGCTTGTTGAAGGGTTAGGTATTTTAATCATGATGGTAATAGTTAAAACCAAAGTAGATAATGATTTTTATACAAATAAGTTTTCACACAGTGTTTGCGTACAAAGTGCCCACATAATGGAAGCATGTTTTAATTGTGGGCATCAACTTAACTTGGATGTACCCCACTATTTGGCAGCATGACAGAACTCATGGAGCTTCACCTCAGTATCCTGCAGACGTTGTCTGTAAAGGCTGCTGTCAGACCTGTTGGCTAGTAATTAAAATTTAGATTATCAGATTAGAAACAGAAGTCATTTGCCTGTGCCCCTTCCACCCACTCACAGCCATTTAAATACTTTACAATTCTGTTTTTAAGTCTTTGGCGATGTAGATTGTTCAAGCATCTGAAAAAATAGTTGTCTTATTCTCTGAAACTAGTGAAAATGGAAAAGTAATGTGAAGACGAATACATAAACACTACTTTTATTCTGTTTGTAAAACATGGCCGTTTTTTGCTAACTCTGAACTCCTTTAAACTAGTTAATTCTTAATTTAGACTCATATAATTAACTTCAGTGTAAGTTGTATTGATTGTATTTTGTAACTAAGCATTTTGGTCACTTTCAACCTCATAAAACAATTAGACATACTATTGTGTCAAGATACTTATGTAGTTGTTTTATTTTTAAATTTTCTACCAGAAAGTTTTAAGATGTTCTAATGCTCTTTTTTTTTTTTTTATTATGATAGGTTGTGATTCAGGGAAATGATGACATCGCAAACAGAGCAATAGATCTTCTTAAAGAGATCTATACTAATCTTGGCCCAAGGTTACAAGTTAATCAGGTAAAAAGTAAACAAGCAACAAGAAAACTGGAATATAATATGATAGAAAAACAGTAATAAAATTAAATTTGCACATATTTTTGTATTTGAAAGCTTTGAAAATACAGAATAGTTTTCATGTTTTGGAGAGTATACTTTTGAGTCCAGCCTTCAGGTTCTGGTCAGATGCAGGATTAAGAGTTTTTTCTGATATTTGCAGACTGAACTCTAATAAATTTGTCATATTAAATTGATCTATTGTGTTTGCTCTTTCTACTCAGAAAACAGTTCATATCATATACGTAGGTAAGCCTGTTGTTGAGCTTCAAATTGTGGTACTTATTTGTACTAGTATGTTCACTGGATAGGTCTGTTGAGTGTTGTCACAAGCTAATCTAATCTTTTTTTATGTCATGTCCCTTACAAAGGGTCACAGAGTTCCCATATAATGGTCAAGCTGAGCTCTAGCAAATCAGATATTATCTCCCTACGTTAGTATTTGCTAGCAGCTGTGTTTCAGTGTCCAGAGAGAAGAGATAATGAATTTCTGAAAGGTCAGAGGAAGTGAACTGTTGGGATTTCACAGATTTGGGGGGGAATATTGTCCTCCAGACAGTCTCCAATTGGTAGCTTGGCAGTTGTATTTCTTGAAACTCCAGTTTTCATACTTGTCCTCAAAACCACTTTTATAGTCTTCAGAGCTGCCAGTCTGCTAGATACAGCACAGCTGCTCTAGGTGGTGCATTTACAGCTATTCAAGCTATAGCTTCCTGTAGCAGCAGATGGGCTGTATGCTGCTTCCTTGCTATAGGTCTGGGCTTACGAAGCATGCATAGATCTGTCCATCTGCACATGGTTAGATCTGACACTTCCAGGAAGTGTTGGATTTACTTAACATGCACATGAGTATTTTGTTTCAGTGTGCTGGTAACTCCTCTGCTCCTGAGCTGCCTCTAAGAGAAGTGGCTACTGGACTGTGGTTTACTGCCACAGCTCTGACTATTAATGTTTTTATTGCAGACTACTGCCTGGAGACACTACAAACTTTTTGCAGTGATACTATAGGTTATATGTCAGTCTAGGTCAGGAGTGAGGAGATGTTCAATATGAAGCAGAAGGAAGAGGTTTGCTGCAGCTGCTGCTATACTGCATCTAGCTCAAAATCCATTTCTGAGTTTATACAGAAAAAGAGTGTATCTGGAACTGGGTGATGTGATTGCCGGGGTGGGGGGGGGGGGGGGGGGGTGAGTCTGTAAATGTTCTGTGTTCACGCCTAGTGTAAAGTTAAGTTAACCTTTACTAGAGTGTCAGCTAAGGATTCTTTAACTTAGTCTGAGGAAATGAATAAGAGAAAGTCCAATTTAGTGTTCTCTGTGTGTACTTTCACTTTTTCTGTTTCTGTGCAAGTTTGCACTGTACAGTTACACCTACTGATGACATGCAAAATTTTTGAAGCACACACTAAATTAGAGCTATTTATCAATGGGAGTTTATTCTGAACTGGAATAAAATCACTTTATAGAGTAACTTACCTGGTTTTGTTTCGGTGGGGTTTTTTTCACTTCTACCATTGGATTATGCTGCAGAAAAGATGGTTTTTAATATTTCTTGTAATTGCACCAATTTTTAAATCTAATTAGGTAGTGATTCATGAAGACTTCATTCAGTCCTGTTTTGATCGTCTAAAAGCCTCCTATGATACATTATGTGTGTTGGATGGAGATAAAGACAGTATCAATTGTGCAAGACAAGAAGCAATACGAATGGTGAGAGTATTGACTGTTTTGAGAGAGTATATAAATGAATGTGACAGTGATTACCACGAAGAAAGAACTATTCTACCTATGTCAAGGTACGTGTGAAAATGCACTACTGTGATTTTGATTTCTGTTAACTAAAATATTACTATTCAAGGAGTTTCAAAATTACATTTTCTTTACTAATAATGTAAACTCTGATCTGTAGTAAAAAAAAAAAATAAATTTGAAAGACCAGGCAAATACAGACATACATGAAAGGGACAGCAGACCTGAGAATAAACTTGTTTATTGTGTTTTCTGTAACTAGCAAAATGTACCTTGTGGCTGGATTGTTTTGGATGTATTTCTTTTTTTCAGATAATTATTTAAAAGCAATACCATTCTTCAAGTTAGCATGGGCAGAGCTTCTTTGTTTTTCATAGTCCTGTCATACAACAAACATATTGTTAATGTATATCTTCATCTTCCAGAGTTGTTTACAGAGATGCTAATCTTACTTTGCAAGCTTAAATTTAGGATTATCTCTCGGTGACATGTTTTGTGTAAGCTCCTCATAAAAAGGGGAAGAGGAGAACAGCACTTTGAAGTATATTTATTTTCTTTGTACCTTCACTGTTCTTATACTTGTCCTTGAGTAAAAGCGTAGCTTAAATCCTAGCTGCTCTTTCTTTAACTCTTGTCTTTGGTACAAAGGAAAAGGAAATGCTTAAATCCAGTGTCGTGTAGATGTTCTCACAAACAAAATACTTTATTTCCTGAGAGAGGAAAGGAGAACAGAAAACTGTTTAAATGTTCCAGTGTTAGTAGCTGCTTTCTGTGGGAAGAAAGTCTCAAAAATAGATAAGGAATACACTGAGATTGCTGTGGGTTTATGATGCAGCTAACATATTTTTAGACATGGTGGGGGCTTGTTGTCCCCTTATTTTAAATGACCTTTTTGTCAAGAAAATCTGGGAGATTGCTGTTTCTTCATGATGTGTCACTAATTTGCAGTGCTCCTACAACATTTTAATTATATATATATGATTGAGTAGTTCTAAATACATTCTCTTGTTGATTGCAGGTGCATTTTTTTTTTATATGGGCTGCTTACTTGATGAGACTAAGTTATTCACAGGTCTTGTTAGCAACAAGCTTTTATGAGGAATTTTTGCCTTCTTTTGTTGCATGGGATCGGTTTGGGCTTATCTAGGCACATCTTTCCTAACATGCTAAAAGAGCAAAACATAGTTGCCAGTCTGAGTGAGCTTTATTTGCACATTTTGATCCAGAAATTACAAGCCAGAGAAAAGGAAGAGACTTAAAAAAATTCGGTGACTGTTTCTAACCTGACTGTAAAGTTGACCATGTGTTTAATGCACTTGTGCATAGTGTGGCTTCTTGAAAGTTTCTGCATACGTTATGTTTGCATAATTGCTGGGACTTTCACAAAATCTCGTACTGGAGTATATGACCATATGTAAAGATTTGATGTTGAAATATCTGCGATGCAAAATACAGCAGGAAAAATAATGTATTTCATGAGGACAAAAATAACCATGTCTGGTTTGTTGGTTTTCAGAGCTTTCCGTGGTAAACATATCACACTGGTAGTTCGTTTTCCAAACCAAGGCCGACAGGTGGAAGATTTGGATATTTGGTCTCATACAAATGACACAATTGGCCAAGTACGGCGTTGTATTCTCAATCGTATTAAAGCCAATAGTGCGCACACAAAAGTAGAACTGTTCATCGGTGGTGAGCTGGTGGACCCTGCAGATGATAGAAAATTAATTGGGCAGTTGAATCTCAAAGATAAAACGGTAAGTGTTGCGGGTTCGTTATTTCTGTCAATTCAGATGTTGCTTCCCTTTTGTAAATGCTTGAAAAATACCATATGTGGAACCACTTATTGCATTCCTCCTCCTTGTATTATGCCGTTAGCATTACATCAGATGCTTATTTAGTAAAGAATCTTCATTTTTGCATAGTATTAAAACTATGATTGTGTTTTTTCAGCTAATTACGGCAAAGCTTACACAGATAAATTCTAATATGCCCTCAAGTCCAGATAGTTCTTCTGACTCTTCAACTGGTTCTCCGGGCAACCATGGCAATCACTACAGCGATGGTCCAAATCCGGAAGTTGAAAGCTGTTTACCTGGAGTGGTAAGCATATTCTGAAATAAACAGTTTACAAGCATTTTTTCCCTATACTTTGTCTTTAATGATTTTTATGGGTTTTTTTAATCTGCTTATTTTAAGATCATGTCACTGCATCCTCGATACATCTCTTTTCTTTGGCAAGTTGCAGACTTGGGCAGTAGCCTAAATATGCCACCTCTTAGAGATGGAGCACGTGTTCTTATGAAACTCATGCCACCAGGTAAAACTTAGTTTTATCCTATTTTATCTTGTAATATCCTGTATAATAATTTCTCAACTGTTATATAAAAATGAAGGTAGGGGAGTATTTTCCACTTTCTGGTAATTTATTGATGCTGTAATTCATTACTGTTACCCTAATTAGGGTTGTAAATATATTTCCCAAATAGTTATTTCTTGTCTGTCATATCAAGTTGCATAGTTTGCAGTTGGTACTGGAGTTCAGTGCAGTGAAAATGGGGAGAAGCGTTGTATTTTGAGGTGGTTTTGTGGCACTGCTTTAACAAGATCACTGTTGTACTGGCAGAAATGATCATTGCAGAAATGATCATTGCAGAACACTTCATAGTCTGATCTTGTCTGTCAGTTACACTTTTTGTAACTTCTCTGATATGCTTAAAATTTTTCAGATTTATAATTGTAAATACTACTGACTTGTTCTGGAGTATTCTTGTTGCAAAACATTTATAAGTTGTGTTTTTATTGCAGATAACACTACAGTTGAGAAACTGAGAGCTATTTGTTTAGATCATGCAAAGCTTGGGGAAAGCAGCCTTAGTCCATCCCTTGATTCTCTGTTCTTTGGTCCTTCTGCCTCACAAGTGCTGTATCTAACAGAGGTTTGTGATGCTTTGCCTGTTCTTTAAAAATCTTCAGCTCTGTCTTTGGCAAACCTTTCTACATTATGGAAGCTTGAGATCAAATTCTGGTTTGAAATTAACAATTGAAAATACTTAACAATTTACTGGAAAAAACTGGTGTATGACCAATGCTGTCACAGCATTGCTTAAGTAGTATTCCAACATAGTCTCATGTTCAGTCGTCTATATTCAGGCTAGTGCATTTCTGTTAGTTAACTCTGTATTTTGTTCTACAGGTAGTCTATGCCTTGTTAATGCCTGCCAGTGCACCTCTGGGAGAAGATGCCAGTGACTTCCAATACAACTTCTTAAAAAGTGGTGGTTTGCCTCTTGTATTGAGCATGCTGACTAGAAATAACTTCCTGCCAAATGCAGACATGGAAACTCGAAGGGGTGCCTACCTTAACGCTCTAAAAATAGCAAAATTATTGCTAACAGCAATTGGATATGGCCATGTTCGAGCTGTGGCAGAAGCTTGTCAGCCCGTTGTGGAAGGCACAAGTACAATTTCACCGGTAATATAAATCTTCCGTGCTGCAAATAGCAATGTACCTTGGTTTTTATATTGTCTGCAGCAACATCTCTCTAATCTCCATTGACAGTCTCTGAGTGAGTTGCACATCAAGAACTTACGGTACTTTCAGATAATGTTATCTACCAATTCCAAAAAAGGGATCAACTTACTAAACAAATCCTGTTTCTTTCTGACTATAGAAAAGTTAGGTGGGAGGTCCACTTGCTCTGTGAGTGATTTTCAGTGGTTTGCATGATTGTCAGTACAGGTAACTTCCCATTTTCAAGGTCATTTATCCCATAAGTGCAAATTCTGGTTCTTTTGAGCTGTTGAGTCTGTTGAAGAATGTGCCTCTGAATTTCTTGTATCTCCTATTTGTGATTAGAGCGTAAAACACAGAACTGACGTTTCTTTTCCAGCCCTTTTTCTACACAAAAATAAATCCTTGGCTTGCTACATTCCTAATTCTGTCCATTGCTTGTAGAAAATTCTTGCAGAGAGCAGCTAGGTACATTGCAAAGTTAAGTGCTGATAGGTGAAAGATGTCCTACCCTAAGATTTCTCAAAGTTGGAAAGGGAAAGTGTAACATGGGTATTCTGAACTGTGATCTCACATCTCCATAGTAGTGGACTTTATGCATGTTTGATATGGCTGGTTAGTTTTTCTACATCTGGACAAATACATTGTGGGTCAAGATTTTATTTCTGCCCTCTTACAGTAGGTGTACAGCATAAAGCCTAAAAATTAAAATTTTCTGTGGTCTTTCTTGGATATTTGCTTCCAGATATTCCATCTTTTTTTTTTATTCTTTTGTGAAGGTCTGTCTTGAATAGTTGCTTGAGCTATCAGCCTATTCTCAAAAATACTAGAATGCCCCACTTCAGAGCACTTTCTTCCAGAATATTTGCTAAGATCCATCTCTGAAGCAGAGAAGGACATTCCCCTTAAGTCTGAAAAATAAATATCTGTTCTGGTTAGCTGCATCTGTTGGAAGATATCTGATTTGTTCTTTTTGAAGGAAATCAAAACTCTTGACGATTACAAAGAGGTGGAGATTCCTTTTCATATCTCATGTTAGAACGTAATAGAAACATCTTAAAGCAAACATTACTTGCCACCCTATCCTTCATCTATTTAAAATGAGTAAATTTTACTGCCCTTTTTTCTTACGATGATTGTTCAAAAGGCAGTTTGGAACAAAGATAACATCCGTTGAGTCTTGAAGTACCATTTGAAACAACAGTCTTGAAATACTGCTTGAAACAGATTTATGCTGACCACTTAGGAGGTAGTAACATTTGTCCATGACTGTTGCCATTCACTGTTTAGTATTGCAAGCATCTAACTTTATTATTAACTGATTTGTTGGAAAAAACACAGTTATTCTTGCTGTCATCATCATCCTGTTTTGAAGGACTTTGGTCTTGATACTTTTTATTGCTGCAGCACCAGTAAGCTTACACCTTGGGCTGGAGGTGAGATTTGTAAATACCTTTCATCTATCTTATCTAAAGCATAAGTACCATAGCATAATTTTCTATTCTGGCTTTCCATTAGTACTTAAGAGAATGAGGTAGTAATATTATGTGTTTGCAGTCTTCCAGTTACTGGTCTGCTGCTGTCACTTAAGACCTTTTAAATTTTTATTTTCTTCCTTGCTTTCATAGAAAGTTGAATCAGTAATAGGAAACATAGTATTCTGGTACATAGATCCTGATTTGCCCCCATATATACTGTATTTGATCATTTACAGCCTGCTTCTGATAGCTAATTGACTGTGTAAGCTGTATTAGTCTTCAGTGGGAGTTCTGTTATTTTGCTCTCCAAATCAAGTGTCTTGGTGAAGCCGACAAAGCAAAGGGATATGACCAGTGCCAGATGTTACAGAACAACTTCACAGTGTGTCTTTTGAGTGGTGTTTGAGACTGGGTTTTTTTGGATGAAATAGTACTAGAAAGTGAAGAAGCTCTTGTACAGGGAAGTTTTAATTTGTAACCACAGCACACAGTCTTTTCAAGCAAATTTGTCTATGAGGAGGAGACAACCGTTTTAGATTTGAACTGTCAAAACTATGAAGCTCTGTCAGCCCAAGGAGAAGAAACTCTTATGCTCAAACCAGTACAGAAGACAGCAAAACTCTTACTGCTTTTTCTGTTGTAAAAGTAGGATAAAGAACAGGAGGGATAATTTGGAAGAGAATTCTTCAATAGTGCTCTAACTCAAATGTTTAAAATGTGCTTAACTATAATGAATGCTGCAACCATGTTCTGTCTGGACGCTGGTTAGCTAATCCAGAGGGAAACCCATTGTTTTAGTAAACCTGTTGTTTCCTACATCAACAGAAAGGGAAGGAGGCATTGTAATCCAAAACGTTCTGTTAACTTGAAATAATCTGACCAATAAACAAACCCGCAAACCTAAGCAATTTTGAGTAAGTCCCTCTCCTCTTAATTGGTTGTACTCCATGATCATACACTGTAGTGTATAGTGTCTTCAGGTGTGACGGTATGTATTTGAAGATGAGGTAGCTTATTTTTGTTGGTGTTCGCAGTTTCCATAAGTAGTTTTCCTTCCAAGATCTTATCTACTTCTACCAAACCTTTCCAAGTGACTAGATTTTTCATATCTTCTTGCTTTCTTTTTTCCATGTAAAAATAAATGTAAGAAATACTTTCTTCCAGATCAACCAGGCTACGCATGACCAGGCAGTGGTGCTACAAAATGCCCTACAAAACATTCCTAATCCCACTTCAGAATGCATGCTAAGAAATGTAGCAATACGTCTTGCACAGCAAATATCTGATGAGGTTAGTGAATTCCTTTCTGTATCACCTTTTTTTCCTGTAGTGTTTTGTTGTTTGTTTTTTTAAAATCCTTCTATTTGCTGCTTTAAGACATGGATTTTTCCTTCTAAAGTGTCATGAAACATTTTAGGTAATGTTCATATGGTTCATAAGCTATTAACTAATTAAAACTATTTACTGAATTGTTTCCATATGCAATTATGAAATTTAGTGTCTAATAGCATAAAGAGGCTTAAGTGAACTAGACAGGTTCTGTACAAGCTCTTTAAGGGATTGTGAATAGTGTAACACTTAGAACTTTAAATCTATTACATCAGATTTCTGAAGAAGTTAATGGATATTTTGAAAACATTTTTTTGATACTTTCTTCTTTTTTTTGCTCTTTCATGTTTTGATGTCTGAATACCATTCTCTTCCTGAAGAGAAGCACAGAAGGGCAGGGAGTTTTAAAATTTTGTGCATGATTTTTAAATGCTGAAAGATAAAAGTCTGAAACTGTTGCCAGTGTATATATTGAAACTGCATTAATGATACAAGTGAAAAATTGGATTGGTAGGGTTACACATTGTGCTTTGCAAATATAATAGTCTTATCTGTGTCGTACTGTATGGTATGACCAAACCCTATTTGGATTTAGAATTATGAGCTACGTTAGTGAATACATTAGTGAATTCTGCTGAATTCAGCAAAAGCTAAAATTGGAACTACTGCAACATCCTATTCCATGTTGAATCAGGATCCCTCAATTTCCAGTGTGGAAGCAGTGAATATTGTTTTTCTACACTGTATAGAATCTCTGCAAAGCTATCTCCAAAACACTTCTGAGCTCTAAATAAAAGTAGTCTTGTATTATGATCTTAATGTTGAAAAGTACATTATTACTTCTGAAAAAAGAGCAGTGTCTAAAGGAAGCACGATGTACTAGACTGCCAGACTGAACCGTCTGCCTTCCATTAGTGGTGGTATTGCGTCCATAGGTGATTGTATGTGTAAAATCAACCAGTTGAACTCTGATTTAATTAAAGTCCTTCCACAGAAGAAATGTCTTTTGAGATGAGATATGAAGAAAGGTTTTTAATTGTTCCTTTGTTGGTTTTGGAGGACTTCTAATAAGTAAATAAATAAATTTTCTTTCACCAGGCACATCAAAGCGAACAGAACCTGAATTTCTTTAACACTATTGCTATTAAAGTATTGTCTGTAATTTTCGGAAATTTTGAAAACTGCTGTAGATCTAAATTACATCTGTATTGTGATTTGCCTTTGAAATATTTTTTTTTTCTTTTAATGTTTGAATGGTCAAAGACTCTTCAACTGACCTCACAATTTTAAAAAAAATAAATCTGGCATGGTTTCCATAGGCCAGACAGAAGACTACAGCATGGAAAGAATCTTTCATCTTTTTAAAAAATTGTGATACTTAGACATTTTAAAGCTACAATGAGATTTTTTTTTAAAAAAAATTATTTTTCTGTCTGACAAATTTTTCTTGTGATGCTGTTACTGTAAGGGTGCTTTGCTTGTGACAAAGGTGAAATACCTATTGTGGTTCTTGTAACTACTGTTAATGTGCATATCAGTAGCAAGAATGCACATTATTCAGGTTTCCTGATGCAGCTAACTTATTAATTAAGCTTCTTAGAGTCTCCATTTTTAAGTTTGAGCATTATAAAAATGAAATTTTGAAGTTTTTGAGAACTGTCTACCATCTGCTTTTAAGGTTGCCTATTTTTTGGACAGTCCTACTTTGAATATAGGCTCCAGATGGGTTCAGGGGGTTTTTTGGAAGTTGATACAAACTATAAATAATGGCAGTTGTTGTATGTTTTGTAATGTATGTCTATCAGTAGGAACTTTTGGATCTTAACTCAGACCATGCCCAAAATACTGAAGAGTATTTTGCATTTATTATAATTCTGCATTTATAAGATACATAATCTGTGTTCTTATTCATTTTAAACCCTGTATAATTTGAATATAGAACAATCCCTTTTTATATTAATCACATGCTTGATAAATGTTAGTTTGGTTAGCTAGCTGTCGGCTGGCACAATAAATGTCATGGTGGGGACAAACCTTAAAATAACTTAAATTTGTTACTTTACTTAAGAGGCTAGTAGCCTTCCAGATATGTGCTTGGTGGTTTATTGGGTTTTTTTCCCCCAAATCAAGAATGTTTTAGCATTGAAGTTGATAGTTTCTGCTAAATCTTACTCAGAATCAAAGAGTTGCTGGTTATTTATCAAAAATGCTTACTTTCTTGTAGTTCCTGGTACTTGTAGCATTACCATTTAAGATTCTGTAATATATCTAACATACATGCTACTTTCTATTAAAAAATGAAGTGAATCTCAAGTGAAGAACAAATGCTTTTCAAGATACATCATCTCTTTTTTTTTTTCTATTTAAGGATAAAGTCTGTTAAATGTTAAAATTTAAAACTTTCTATAAAATACATTTGTGAGAATTTAGAATCCATTGAAATGTTATTTGCAACTGCATTTTAATGTTGCTTTGGTTTATTTCTCTTTTTTCCAGGCTTCAAAATACATCCCTGATATCTGTGTTATTAGGGCAGTACAAAAAATTGTTTGGGCATCGGGGTGTGGGTCAGTTCAGCTGGTTTTCAGCTCAAATGAGGAAATTAGTAAAATCTATGAAAAGGTAAGAATTTCTAAGCAACTTCTTTTCTATATAACTGTTCCTTTGTTTACAAAAGGGACAATGTCGACCAGGTCAGTCTTAGAGTGTGATGAGTTTTTAGGTGAATAAGTATCTTGATGATGTATTTTGGAGTCTAGTATATGTCAGTTGTCATAGCAGTTTAATTTTCTATTCCAAATTGCTTTTCTCAGTAACTGTTTAATTGTAACTTGAATCTGGTGTCATTTCAAAAATGCACCGGTTCTGAAAGCTGCTGTAACGTGTTTTCAGTTCAATTAGATTCTGTTTCTAAATAAGGAATAAGCATTTCTTGCAATGCTAATTTTTCTAGTCTTCAAACTTAAAAGATCTGTTCTACAGAAGTTAATTTAAAACATATGTACAGTCTAGAATGAGAAACAAGAGCTAATTGATCTGAAATTGGCACTGCAGCACTGGTAAAATGAAATAATTGCTAATCCTGTATGGCTTTTTTCCTTTCATTATGTAGATATGTAAAACATCTTCATGGTTTCACATGTGGTTTATGCAAGTAGTTTGGAGTTGGGGGTTATATATTAGTATGTTATCACGTACTTTGTTGCTTACAGTTACAGGAAATAGTAATCTGTATTGTGACTGATTTTAAAAAATATTGGGTTTGTACTCTAAGCATCTTCTCTTTATTGACTTACAAAATCAAGTTTAGTATTCATCATATTTGCCTGAGAGTAAAAGGGAAAAGAATATTTAGGGAATTTTTATTCTTGATGTATTAGCTGTTGGGCTTAAATGATCAATTAGAGGAAGAATATTTACTTCAGCAAAATGCAACACCTTTCCATTTAGCTTATGTAGTAGTATAGTGGCATCTATCTGCTTCTATTGCTGTGCAAATGACTTCTTCATTAAATGAATTGGGGTTTTTATGGTTAGGTTTTTTTTTTAGGTGATAAACTTGCATAGTTTAGTGTGACAGTCCAGGCATGTGACGATACGCTCTTGTATCTATATATTAGTTTTAGGAGCAGTAGTGCACTAGAGAAAATAAACCTAAAGGAAAACGTACCTAAATGTTCTTTTCTGACATTTTTCTGGGTGAAAATTATACAGTTAAGTTCTGTAAAAATACTTTCAAACAATTGATGTTTTAAAATAGGTGAAATTTAAGCTGTACATTATCAGTCATCCTTCAAAGGGGTTTTTTGCATGTTTTTGTTTTTTATTGTTATTGGCACTTATTTGGACATTTGTAATAAACAGCAGCTGCATTTGGTTTATGCTCGGCAAAAGGGAAATAAAAAGTGAAGGGAAAAATTGGAAACTAAAAGGAGGAAGAAATTCCAGAAGTAATAAGAAGGGGAAATAAAGTACACGTTGTTAAAATAACATTAGAAGAGAGGAAAGTATTGCAGAGACAGAGGAATATGATGCAAGAAAAGACATGTTGTTAATTTAAGAGAATTGTGTTTGGTTATAGATGAGGGGAAGTAAATCCTGTGGTAGTTTTGTAGCAAGTGCAGTCCTGAACTTGTTGAAAGCATTCTGCTTTTACTTTCATATCTTGATATGTGTCAGAATTACCACATCCTACCGCTGCGGTGGTACTGACTGTCTTTGATTTTTAGCTGTTGTGCAAAGACAAAACAGTGCCTATTGCCAGACTGAGCCATACTTTGTCCTCTTCTGCTGCTGTTTACAATTAGTTCTCTCTTCTGCATTGTAATCCCTTCCTTCTGCCTACTTAATCTTGATCCCTTTCCGTATATAAAGGAAGTCATTATTTTATGCCTCTAGTTAATGTTGCTAACCTGTAGCCATGATTACTGATGAATTAAGATTGAAACCTGCTCACATTCAGTTTCTTCAGAACTTCTTCAAGCTAATTAGTTTTGACTTAGGTGGAGGAGAGGCCTTGCTTTTATTCCCAAAGTATTTATTTTGGAAAAATGTACCAAAATCAAGTCACTTGATTCAAGTGTTTGAGAGAGTAACCTGTGTCCCAATTGGAATTCTTTCCTATTTCAAAAATCCCCACAGCAACTATGTTTGAAATTTGGTTCACCTGTTTCATGTTTCTGAAAAATAGTGAAGTGCTGAATTAATTCTAGCAATATTAAGAAACTTTCGGTCAAATAAGTTGTGAGTATCAAAGGTTAATAAAACTGGACTTCTTGATGAATTATACAGCACTTTAGCCTTTCTCTGTTTAAGTAGTAAGTGATTCAAAGCTTTAAACTCCAGGTTCTGAGTAGTAAAGAAAAACATCTTATTTAAAAAATAACTAAATGAAAAATAAACAAACAAAACCCAAATACAAACCAACAAAAAAGCCACAACAGTACGAACTGATGTAACTTTTGCCTACAAGCTTCCTATTTAGCTTCTGGCTCCTTAAGTTCGTATTTGGAATCCTCCTTTGAGAAACACAGTGCTGGAAGTTCAGGTCATCCCACATAGTGCTTTGAATCACATCGGAGTGGAGTGCATAAAATACTTGGCACTGATAATCCCTTAGCATACAAATTTGTGGTTTGTGTTTAGTGTATATACCTTGGAGCCAGCTGGGTTTCTCAGGTTTGTTTTTTTTCTGTATCCACTTTGTGCTCCCTTGTTTATTTTCACAGACAAATGCAGGAAATGAACCAGACATCGAAGATGAACAAGTTTGCTGTGAAGCATTGGAGGTGATGACCCTGTGTTTTGCTTTGATTCCAACGGCACTGGATGCACTCAGTAAAGAAAAGGCGTGGCAGACGTTTATCATTGATTTGCTATTGCACTGTCACAGCAAGTAAGTTTTGGTGGCATTGGTTTTTTTAATCACGCATATTATTTTACAATTCAAAATTAATGTAATGCCTAAACACAGAGCAGTGCTTTCTTATTTAGGTGATTTTTCTCTGCAGTTGTCTTTATTGTTTAGCAATACAAGTCTGTATTTTGGATACCTATCCTAAAGTGGTAGGTATATCAGGCCCATCTTCTTTGTACTCATAAGGAGGATATTGTCAAGCCACTTGGATGCCTGATAAGATGCTACTAATGACTTTAGAACAAGTTATCTAGAATAAACTACTAGGTACTTTGTTTTTCAGAAATTATGTGAATACTCACTACATTAGAATGTTGAAGTGTCTTAGGTACAGAAGAACTTTCCTATACTTTTTCTGGTAAGACAGGATACAATAGCAGTTTGAGGAGAGGGGGAAGTTAAGATTTAATCCTCTGGTTTTCTTGCATTGGAGTGGTACGCTTGTGACTCCTCAGGTGACTCACAGGTTTTAGATAGAGCTGTTGCACTGGAGCTGTCGCCCGGTGCAGTAGCAGTGTCTTGGAGGTACCCTTAGCACTGTTGGGGGACAGACAGAAAACCAGCAGGAGCTGCCAAGAGCGATGTGGTTCAGTTGCCCTGCAGTCCTGCTGTAGAGTTCAGGGATCATTTGTTATCTCTAAGCTATTCCCGTAGATCTCCTTAGACAGCATGTCTACTCGGTACAGCGTCTCTGTGATGCCTGTCTTGTGACTTTTAGCCCATCTGAAATTGTCATGTGAAGTATTGGGGGGGGGGCGTTTTTAGAAACCATCCAGGTGGAAATTTTTTGTATGTTGTTATTAAACTTAGTCACCAGTGCTTTGAACTGCTACTAAAGATTTAATTCTAGTTTGGCAAGATGTCTCTGCTGCTGTTCCATGAATATTTTAAGTTTTCTTTGAGAAATGACAGATCAGAAATAAATGACGTTGTCTAAGCCTTTCAGTACATTTTAAATGGAGTCAGATTGTGGTGCTCTCAGATGAATGGAGTCAGAATTTCAACACCATGTTTCGGGATTTTTAGTTTTCTAGATAAAACAGGTTGGAAAGTCTTATGTTCAGGAGTATTCAGCATAACAAAAGGATCAATAATATCATCAGAGTGTCTCTTTATAATGGATTATTTGCACACATTGATGAAATTGTGAAGTGTTGTTACCAGAGTCTCACAAGCTTTCTTAGTTTGTGACCTGTGGTATAGGATATTGAATTTTCAGTTTCACTGAAGCTTGTTATTATCACTTAAGTTAGAGAAGTTTAACAAAACATGCTGACAAATGTTTGTTGTAATTTTACACCTTAAATGAAACAAGCTGTCTTTCACTATTTTGGTAACTTTCACGGCTGATGAGTAAGAAATCACTACATTTTATTTTTAAAACTGTTAACAGTTGGTACCAAGTTGCTATTTTGACAGTAAGTGTATGTTGGCCACATGTCAAATTCGGAGTACCAGTACAGCTGAATAGCATGGGCACGTGTCAGTGCTACCCCGTCTTTTGATATTTTTTTTTTTGATGTGGATCCGAAGATTTATCAGACTTGTGGCTTTTTTACATGATCTTAATTGTAAAAATATATGTAGTAGGTGATAATTTTTATAATAAATCTCACCGTAGTTAGCTGACTTTCTGGCATTGTATTTGCAATTTAAGTGACATTTCTCAAGTGTTCACCAGCATTTGTTTGTATTTTAGTTGGTGTTTGGTATCAACACTTATTACCACTCTTTCAGTCTTTGAACTGATGCTCTTTGTGAAGATTTTTCTGTTCTGGTCATATTTCCTTAAGGAGGTGAACTATTGGTTCAAATTGGGAACTTGTAAATCTATAAGTCTTAAACAGTTTAGTCTCTGAATTTCATTGTGCAGGTTCCGTCTAACACAGTTTGTGATGGAGGTAGAATGTCTTTTTAGCAGAACGTGCAGTCTTGACTTACAGATGGGAATATCTGTTATGGTTTTGCCTGTCTCTTCCAATGGTTACTCTTCTTGCTGGTTTGAGCTTCGTTGACTGAATTTGCATCCCAGCTATTTCGTATCATTATGCCTAGTGAATAGTTGACTGTTGTACTTTTTTTCCTAAAATATTGGAAGAAGCTAGATGTGTCCCCAAGCTGGGGCTTCCCTTGCCGCATGTTTCGTTGGCATGTCAGTCCAAGTCTGAACAGCAGTGGTTTAGTTCCTCGGGTGTTTTTATGCCCTTTAAAAATAAGAATAGCATTAATGGGTGGAGTTTGTTTGGATTTTTTTGTCAGAGAGGATAAAATTTATGAGAGCTTCTCTTACGCAAGTGAACTGCTGCTCAACTCCTTATCTCTGCTTTATTTGTCCACCAGAATGGGAAATTAGCTGAATTTATTGTATGGAAAAATGGTTCATACTGTCACCTCAAGAAGCTAACTATTGAGCTCTTTTCTCTCATACGCTTGTAAAACTTCTGATATATATGATAATCTCGCTTAGAATACAACTGTTCATTATTATGGGATAATTAGAATAGCATAAACATGAGTAGAAACGGAAAACCGCTTTGAAAATGAAGACAGTGAACTTGATCTAAGCTAAGAAAACAGAAGTTGCTCTTCTGAATTAACGTGGAAACAAATTAGTGTTTGCAGTGCAGAGAGTGTTTAGCAAGTGCCAGGCAGAATTCTGAATAGCCTTCCATTTTCAGCTGCTGTTCTCTAATTGCCTACCCTCAATCAGAGAACAATGTGAGCAAAAATATGCATGTGAGAAAAAGGTTTTGGTGCACCATAAAAGACAAGGAAGATGATCAAGTTCAGATCCCATAAATATGATTTTTCTGCAAAATATCAGATAGATTGGTGGGTTTTGTTTCTTTCAGAGGTTGAGATTGCATGGGACTTCTGTTTCCTCACAGCATAACCATGCTACCTATAAATTGAGAAACAGAATGCAGAATGTTTAATACAAAATACTAGAGCAGTTCTTACTTTCCAAGGTAATTGATTTTACAGTGGTGACCCCTGAATACAAGACTGGCTTAGTCAACAGTACGTAGCTGAGCAGTTAGTCCTAAACAATCCTGGAACCCAGAAGTACTCCGCTGATGGCTGCAAAGTGTTTCGTGGTCACACGTATGTGGCCCAAATAAATAAAATTTCTTACTGCCTGTGTAAAGCAATGGCACTTGTACCCATTGAAGAGATTGATTTCTGTTAACTGAACAGAAATCTGTATCCTGGAGCTATCCGTGGGATGGGATTCGGGTTGCCAGCCTTAATGGAGCCATTCGGCCTCCAGCTGTTTCACCAGGTTAGTGTGAGTTCATCATGCAACTTGTGTCCTATCTGCCAACTCTATGGTGTCTAACGCTGGCATCCCTCCAATGGTTCCTTAAGAACTCTTAGATTGTTACAGCCTCACGAAAATACAGTACTTGTGTTCAAATACTGCATACTTCTTGGAGTCATAACAGTGTGAAGTGTGTGTTTCCTTGGCCACATTTCTCACTTTAGGAAAATACCTTTATTTCATTCTGCCTTTAAATGCATCAAACTGAGGAGTGTCTATGCGATATGTCCCAAGCAGTTGAGGGGTTGCATCTTAAAAGAAATTTCTGTGAGTTTTATGAAAACGTCAGCTCAGCAATCAGATCCCTTAAAATGTCAATTATTATTAAGAACAAAACAGACCACACCACAGTCTTCTGCAACAGAAAGCGATGTAGTAGAACTTGCAATAGATCAGAGAAGGGTGACAAGGGAGATCAAAGCTCTGAAATGACTTCCATCTGTGGGATAGCTGAATAGCTTGGGGCACTTCGTATTGGAGAAGAGATAAATGGTAGGAGGAGAATACCACAGAGACCTTTAAAATCAGAAGTACCAAAGGGAAAATGAATAGAGAACAGTGTTTCTTTGTAGAACTTTTCGAGCATAACATTTAAGCAGTGTAAACCTTCAGTTTGGAAATAGTTTGAGGGGCTCTTTCATGAATTTGTCTAGTGAGGGCTATGAAATACTGCTTTTGGTAATCTTTCTGAACCACAAATTGTTAGAAGCGGAGAGAACATTCTGGAGAAGTGTCACTGCATGCCCTCTTCTTGTGCACTTTCCTAGGTGTACAGAGAGGGGTGCTCAGCTAGGTGCATCTTGGCTCTGACCTCATGGTCATTCTTGCATGTCTTTAAAGCAGAGTTAACCATCCATGAAAGAACTCTGAAGGAAATGGGATTCTTTTGTGTGCTTTCCACAGTGACCTCATGGGCAGAAAACAATGACAGCCATACCAAAAAGACGCTGTAAAATTCAGTTTCTTGTATGTTGAGGTACTTTCATAAAGCACAGCATTCATTTGTATTCTGTCTCTACCCAAGCAGAGTTGTTTCTAACAGTTTTTACAAGATGCAATGTTCAGACAAGTAAACTTACAACTTGAAAGAATAGGGGAATAGGGTTTGCCTTTTTTTTTTTTTTTTTTTAAATTAAGCTTATCCATTCCCACATTATTCCAGTGGTTAGATTAAGTTCTTAGATGGAAAATTTCCTTTCATTCTAGCCACTTGAATTTTCAGGGGGTCATCTTTTCTCATTTCTTCCTAATGATAATTTATTGTTGCTTCATGGATGCCTAGGAAACTGCTGTAGTGATACATAAGAGCAATTTTACTAGGATAGTTCTGTTTTGTCTTTTAGGCACAACTGGTGCTTGATTAGAAAAAAAACAGAAAAATTTATTTAGGGTTGCAGATTGCTTGTTGTGTTATGCCATATTTGCTGACAGTTGCGAAGGTTTAGTGGTTAGGTGCTGATAAACTTATTTTTCTTTTAAATATTTGATTTGTAGAACAGATTTTGTAATAGTAATTCATGTGTCTAAAATTTCACTGCAAGGAGAAACAATATGATGAGTAGTGAGTAATTAAAGTATTCCCATTTCTTACGGTATGTGCAGTTTTAGAAAATGGCATTAAGCAGATAAGCAGAAAGTTAATTATTTTTTTTAATGTCCTGTTTGGATAGGGAGATTGAATTTAATGTTTCTATTAAATGATTTCCAGAACTGTTCGTCAGATGGCACAGGAGCAATTCTTTTTAATGGCTACCAGGTGTTGCATGGGACAGAGACCTCTCCTTTTCTTCATTACCCTGCTGTTTACTGTTCTAGGGGTAAGTTTTTATGAGAGGTAAAGGCTTCAGTACAACGTGAATTTCTGTAAAAAGTAGTAAGACAAAATACTTGCAAGAAAAGGCAAATTACTATTAACAGTCACTAAAATATTCCTTTTGACCTATAGGCGAGCAGCACAGTTGATTTCCATTTGAGTTAGATGAGGGGGAAAGGGACTTTTTTGCATTTTCTGATAAGAACATGAACAATAAGCTTTAATGTATGCATTTGATCTTCAGCGAATGCTAACGTCCAAGTAAAAATCATTAGCAGATTAGATAGATACCTACAGTTACTGCTGCCTTTTACTGGGCCTGCCAGGGCTTTTCAGTTCTGCATGCTTGTGGCTGTCGAACATTTCTTGAACATCACTTCACTGTTTGTTTCCTATTCAGGTATAGAAATTGCTACTAAAATAGTCCAGAAGTCATTCATTAACAGCTAAATACAATTGTAAACTTCTAAAAGGTTAAAAATTACGTATGCTTCTTATCTTTCATATTTACTACCAGTTTTATGAAAAATATGTTAGGGTTGCACTATAAATAGAAGTGTGCATGAATTCTGTATAATTTCTTTTTCGTTTACATAGAGTACTGCAAGAGAGAGAGCTAAGCATTCTGGAGACTACTTCACTCTCTTAAGACATCTTCTTAACTATGCTTACAACAGTAATATTAATGTACCCAATGCTGAAGTTCTTCTCAATAATGAAATTGACTGGCTTAAGAGGATTAGGGTAAGTTTTAGGATCAATGTATTTCGGATAATCAGCTTTTTGCTGCTTTGTCGTAAAGTACAGTTTTAAGCTTGGTAAATATATATTACTTAGAGTATTCTAACTTTCTCTAAAATGGCAGGATGAAGTAAAAAGAACAGGAGAGACCGGTGTTGAAGAAACTATCTTAGAGGGTCACCTTGGAGTAACAAAAGAGTTGTTAGCATTCCAGACACCTGAGAAGAAATACCATATTGGTTGTGAAAAAGGAGGTGCTAATCTCATTAAAGTAAGTTCAAGTTTTTTGACCTATGGAGTTGTGGGGTTTTTTTTTTGGGGGGTGGGGGGGGTGGATTGGTTTGTTTGTGTTAATACAAACTGGTAAAAAGAACCTTTGCATCTTGTGGTCTGTAACCATAAAAGGTCCCAATTTAACTGTTTGAGAAGGGCTTCTAATTGGAGTTTAGTGTTTTCTTTTAAAATAATTTTTTTAAACAATTACACGTTTCATTTATAACAGTACTTAAAGTTCTCATTCTTCAGAACTACTGCATATGGAGTTGCTGTGACCATGTGAGCTGTTACTCTAAGATTCATCACACAAGGATAGTGAGCTAGACACAGGATAGTTCCGTACAGGACTGCTTTCTTTCATTACGTCTCTATTGTCTTTTCTACACATGTTCTTAATTAGTGCTATTAATGTGACAAATGCATGATATCTGAGTGTCTTTTTAATCAGATGTATTTTCTTTGTAAC